CGCAATGAGATAGCGTCCCATACTTAAGAGAGCGTTTCTCCCGGCTGCGTACCGGCGATCCTGACTCACTTGGGTAGAAGCAAGTGAAGACCGATTGTGTTGCTGCAAAGCTCTCTAAACCCTAATCTAATCAAACAGAGAGATGAAGAAAACTTTCGTGTCTCTTCGAAGCTGACTAACCCACCGGTCCGACTTCGCTTTGGCATCTTCCTGCAGGTCCAATTTCTCGTCCTCGGCCACGGCGATTTGGTCCAGCTGCGACTTGGACTTGCGCTGAAGCTCGTGAATATCTTCGTCCTTCTGAAAAAGCTGTTGGGATAGCCCGCTTATCTGAAATGGATCAGAAGATAGAAAGAGTTGAGTTACCTTTGATTTGAATATCATGGATGCAACTAACACATACCGGACGGCTAAGACAACACGGAAGCTATTTGTTTTCCGCCAATGTTTGAAAAGTTGCAGTCGATTGCTACATCTGAACACATACCGTTATATTGAGATGCAACTTTAATTTCGTGCCTGTGGTCCTGCATGTTAGCATGCATGACAATATCACTGTCTCCAGAATCGAACAGAAGCTTTCATCAGTTTGAGACGCTGTGCTTAATGAGAGGTTTGTGGTTTCAATTGAAGGAGCCCGACGCATGCATCTACGCCCACCCACACGGCGTGTGGCAGGCTCCTGTCAACAACTCGTTCAAAACGCAGTCCCCCATATCTGGATACTGCTGCAGTCCCCAACCTGGGTTTTGAGCCCCTGCAGTTCCGCCTCGTACTCCTTCCGCCCCTCCTCCGTCTTGTGCGCTTCGGCCCGCCGGAGCTCGTCCATCTCCTTCATGGCGTGGTCGATCAGGCGCATCATGCGCGCGTTCTCCTGCATCGCCGCGTGGTGCCGCCCGTCGAGCTCTTCCTTCTCGGCTTCACAGTCCTCGTAGTACCTGCCCAGAAACATCGATATGCGAGATACAATCAAACGGCATCCTGCCGACTACGAGCTTGTACCTATGCGCACTATTCCGAAGCGCTCCGTTTCGAAACGTCGCGCTCACCCCTCCTCGGCTTCAGAATGCTCAGAGTGCCTGCGCAGATGGAAACGGACAGATCAATACTGCTGAAATCGAGAATCCTCTGTATGGAGCGCCCGTATCACAGCACAAAGCGCTTTATCATGATTTGCTGCTGTGTACCACCGATTCTTGCTCTTCTTATTCGACTGTCAATCTCCTACCACAAAACTTCGTGCCATTCATCAAGCTGTTCCTCCTCGTTTTCAGAGTACTCGTAGTACCTGCGCAAGTTAAGCGAGATGAGCGGTAGCAGTTTAAAATTCTGGAAGTTACTCTGGCCGCTTGGCTGCTGGCTACACTGCTGGCTGACGTCATCAGCTGCCAACGCTAACACGAAAAGAATTGTTCAAATCTAGTGCAACGTGCTGACCTGTCCAGCATGACTCGGAAGTCGTTCAGGTCGAAGATCTCGACGTCGTCCATTTCGTACTCGCGCTCCCAGCGCGCCATCCACACCTCCAACAGGGTGTCGAAGGACAGACGCCACTGCTGCAGCTCCGCACGCAGGCTACCAAGCAGCTTGTCGATCTCGCTGCAGAAAAGCGAAGGCGTTTTAGTGTCTATAAATGCGGTGGCTCCGATGGTCTAGAGTTTGGACCTATCTTTGAAGCACTTCAAGATCTCCGCGTGTTACTACGCCGCTGTTCGGCGAACTGGATCGATTCGCTGGCTCACCGCACAAAGCCTGGCATGTTAATCTGATCAATCACGTCTCAGAGCTACCTTTAGCTCGTCAGATCGTAGAGGGTCAAGAAATACATACCCAATTCTTTGCATTCTTGGCGACCAATGTGAAGGGGACCAGGATCTACGATTTACTCTTCCTAATCTGTGATCAAGCAGGCACGACCCTTGAAGCAGACGAACCCACCTGTGTACTTCAACAATGCCTTTGCGGAACACCCTATCGTCTATGCGCTGCTGAAAGGATCCCTCTCGGCTGGAAGAGTTGCTGTGGTTCGAGGCGAGGCCTCTCAATGACGTCACGCTTCCCCGGCGGCTGAAGGGCGTCGGCGGCCTTTTAGTCCATCCGCCACTGGCGTGAGCGTCTCGGAACGCGGATGGCATGCTGTTGGGGGTGGAGAAAGGGGCCTCCGCGGTGTAGGAACTTCCGTCGTCCTCGGGATAGTCACCTGCGAGTTGTCCATGCATTGATGAGTGGCGATGACCAGCCGACATTCGATGAACATTCCAGCATTCAACTTTTAGTACGTCAGCTTCGTTTAGGGAGTTTGATCAGAGCTTCAAGTGAGGAGTTGCAAGGTCACGAATCTCTGAACTAAGTTGTGAAGCAGGAGCTCCATTGGCCTCGGGAATCTGCGCTCAGATTTTTGACATGGTTTAAGCATGAAAATCCTGTTCGAGCAGACTTCAAGCCGTTCCAAACCTCTGAGAATCGTTGCAGTCAGCCGATCTACGTCGATCAGAATAATCAACTGAACCATTTTGTAAGCTAAGATGACTCTGTAGCGCGACCAGATGCATCCAGAAAACTGCTCCCTATTTGCATCTTCTTTCAGCCAAATGTAGCTTCTGTGGTGCTTTAGTACCAACCACAAAACCCCTCAAAATGCGACAAGGAGGAACTTTTTCTAGAGGAAACAATCCCGAAAACGTTCACCTGCCATCAAAACCTCACCTGCTTCCGCTTCCAAAGATGCTTCAAACATCGGGTTATCGTGGGAAGTTCGCAGGTTGTCCAAGTTGTTTTCCAGACTGATGGTAGCGCTCAGATCGTTCTCCAGGTTCCGAGGACTCACTTCCGGTGGGGTTGGATCTGCAGCATGCACGAGGTCTTTGAATTGATGATCAATCTGATCAAGTGTAAGATCCTAAGGTTAGGCAGGGAAGTAAGGCTGTGAACGCGTCTAAGAAGCCACATTAGGCAGGATCAATCTAGGTTTGTCTTGCCTATTGCGGATCGAGCCAGGGATCTCTGGAAGTTTGAGCATGCTTTGGGGATCAGAATCTTCTCCGTGGAACAATATGAACCTTACTTTCGATCAAAATGTTGCCTTCCAGCAAGTTTGCATGATGGAAGAATGCAGCTTTGCTTAGCTTCAGATGAGCGGACAACACCTTTGAAAGTGACATTGCTTGCCTTTGCTTGTGCCTTAGGAGCCTTCGCAAAGCATTTGCTCTTTGCTCCATAATGTGTCTTCATCAAGGCTAGAGCACTCATAGTACTGATAGTTACCTCACCTTCCACACCTGAGCGTCCAGTTCTGCCCGTGGAACCTCTCAAAGGAGCAACACTATCTTCCTGCTTGTCATTTTCGTAAGTCTCTTCTTTGGACCTTAGAATCGCTTCTGGAGCAGATAGAGTCTCTTCTGCAGGTGCATTCCTTCGCTCAGAAAACACTTCAGCATCTGCATGGTCACCAGAACTTCCACTGGAAGACGGACTCATCGTGAGAGAAGAGTGCTCCGTCATCCTAACACTATCTTCATGTTCCGACATTGGAGAATGGTCCATTTCGAGCTTAGACCGTAACATGATGGAAGAATTTTGCGACTTCCTGATGGTATCATCCTGGGTAGCCATACCAACTTCCCTGTCTTAATCTCGTCCTGTTGCGCCTTTTGAATAGGTTCTCCAGGAGGGAAGCGCATAGTAGGACCAAAGCCAGCTCCGATGCTTGGACTCCGCTTCAGACGCTCTCTCTCGCCATGATTGCAAAAGCCTTCTTCCGCAATGAACAATCGCTCAACGCGTTTTTAAGCTGCTCTGAATGTTGCCTGGATCACAGGGCGCTGAGAATGGTCGAGGCGCTTCTCACTATGCTTCGAAGAAGGAAAGCACGAGTCTCAGACTGCGCGATCGAACCCGTCATCTTGCATCTCGAAATAACGAACGTCAGAGCACGTGATCGAGAATATTCACACTGAGTCTTGCACGTCTTGTCAACGCTGCGACATGCCTGAAACGAGACGGTGGACACAGATGTGAACGGGCTCTGAGTTCAAGCACCAAGAGATGGATCGCCACGTGTCAGGTTGCAGCTGGTAAGCTGGAAAAATCGAGCTATGTAAGTCTTATGGCACACCTAGCTTCCTGACGTTACGCCAGACTAGTTCAAAAAACAGCCCGGGAACCGGTTGCGATGCACTGCGGCTCCGGATACGCGCATGCCGGTTAGGAAACATGCACGCATTGGAATCAAAGTTTCTGAGAGAAGAAAACTTTCTCGTGCGCAGCTTTTCAAAGCGCATCATCCTCGAGCCTCGGAACAGAAAACACTCCACATGGACGGTCTGCATACGTCATACAGCACACAGACTTGGAGCCGATCCAGCCACCATATTGATATAGTCGGACGTAGTAAGCGGAATTTGCGAGCTTCTTACCAAGTGTCTGAAGCTTAAGGCCATTGCATCAAAACGCTAATAGACTCCCACACCGACTCTGATGCAATGGGCTTTCATCTCTTGTCGGCTCGGCATGTATCTTGGCATGCTTCTAAGGATGCAATCATGGATACCACGTCGAATTCCGCCCGCATGATATTGCTGATTTTAAATTTCAGATTTTGACTAGTTGGCATGACCTTCAAATGCAAGACTAGATTATGATCAGATGCATTTTTCAGCATACCTTTTTTTCTAGATCACTCTTCTCAAACCCTGTACCTGTCAGCTTTCATCCTAGCGTGTCCTTATTGTACACAATTGTGCCCAAGAACTTCATGTTGAACCTGTCTATGATTCACTCGTGAATTTAGCGTAACTCAAGCCAGATCTTCCGTTTTCTCCCGGATCATTCTGCTTTACCATGATTGTTCCTGTTCTGAAATTGACCGAGTTAAAGGGCAACGTCCTGACTACCTATGTTTTATGCTTTTGAATGCCTATGTATATGGCGCCAGCAACACTCTCCCCTAAGCCGTTTGAGATTGTTAAATTGTGCCCGAGGCTTCTGTCAGAAAGGCTAGCTTATGCCGAAGGAGAGGCAGAGCTAGTCCTGGTGTGGTTGAAACTGATGACCATGCACGTGATGTCATCCACGTAGCAGCCGTGGTCGAGCGCGAGCCAGCGCGCGCGCGCGGTCATCATGAGCTTCTTGCACCCCGCTTCGGGGGTGGCGCAGTCCTGCACAATCTTGACCCCCTCCTCGCTAGAGATAAACTCCCAGATGCCGTCGCTCGCCAGGATCAGGAACTTGTCTGCTGACGTAATGACGTGGGTTGACGTCTGCAAGTGGGCAATCTCGATAGTCAGCGGGTTGCGCGAGATTGACTGCGAACAGCACTTTATGGACGAAAACTTTCGCGGATTGAGTCTTGGAATTCGTGAATTATGTGCGGCCTGACTTGAATCATTGCTTACAGTTTTCAAAAAATTTTTACGATGTGAGAGTAGAATCTATCAGAGAAACACTCTGTGTCCGCCCTTCCATGCCAAAATTTATGGGAGTGGTTTGGATCGGAAGCACCTTTTCTATGCAAAGCCCAAGCTATTTCGACAACGAAATCGATGGTTGAGCCCTTTCTCACCTCTGGAACGCTCGAGACGCCGACAGAATGCGCGAGCACGTCTCCCATGCTTCGGCTCATTGCGAGCCCTAGGATGGGGGCGTGACGTAACCACACCCGGTACGGACCCACCTCCTCACCATATTGATCAATCAATCTGCAAATCGATATCCAGATCAGACAACGTGGCAGCGTGCTTGGCTTCACATTTGGCGGACGTGCTCACACGAATTTGGAGAAATGAAAGAGCGCCCATAGCAGACTTTGGGCCGATTTTGGCGGCAATTGCTTTACCCTACATCGCAAAAGAGCGAGTCTGAATGGGCTGTGCTGAACAAGATCAGGAGACCTTTCTCATGAAAATCTGCTGATTGGAAGAGAGATCGTTTGGAAGATCGTTTGGAACAGGACTTCGGGCCAACACTCCGACTCCTCACCTGTCTACTCTACCGTTGCAACTCAAGATTCTTCGCCTTTCCCCTATTGAATCCGGTTTGTGGTCGATGGTTAAAGGGAGGCCTTCACAGATTCCTGCATCAAAAGGAAGCAGCGAACTTCTTTAATCGCATAGCTCAATCAAGGTTATAAGTACGATTCGGTTTCTTTATGCATTTTAGAAAGACCTCAAGCAGCGCTGGAAGTAGCCTTAGGAGATCGTTCGAGTATTTGCCCACGCGACTTTCAAAGCAGGAGCGAGGCTTCACGAGAGTTCCGCGTTGTCAAGCATCTAAATACCAAAGGAGTTACCGATCCCTGAAATAACGATGGAGCTAGAAAGCTGCTAAGGATTGACTGTCTGGTGTTTCGTTTCGGAAGTAGATGCGGTCTCGGTATAGCACTCACCATCCGCATTCGATCGGCAGAGAACGCCTCGCGAGTCTCCGACCCACGCAAGGGTCAGCTTCCTGCCCGCAATGTGCGCGAGCACTGCAGTCGTTCCGCTGACGTTGCAGTCCACTGCGAGGAAGGAATCCCAGGCATTAGACATACCCAACCAAGTAGCAGGAGCTTCGACTTTCACAAGCACCTCCATCAAACGCACAGACTTCGCGGTTGAGAAACATGGAGGAAGTGATTCTTGGCACGTGTTAAACATCCCAAAGTACACCTATGTCAAGATTCGTTTTTGGAAAAGTATGCGACGAAGTGCGTACCGGAGGTGTCGAGGTTCCCATCCACGGACAGGAACGACTGACGGAAGGCCTCCTCGGGGTCCCTCGCAAGGTCCGGCTGCTTGAGGATACTGCTCGGGAGGTTGTTCTGCAGGACGAGAGGAGATGAGCTAAGCGCCAATGACGTCAGCCAGAAGAGACGAATCTTGGTCAGGCAGAAAGCGAAGCACTTGGTCGAGCTAGCGTGGCCCTAGAATTCATGTTATGTCGAGATTTCGCAGGCTTCTGATCACTTGCTGAATCGTGTGTTGAACCAATACGACAAAGTGCTCGGGCGGGGCTGAACTCTTACCTTGATAAACTGTGAGGCGTGATGGCCGTTGGGTCCATGACCGTCGAAGACGCCAAAGAGCAAGCACCTGTTGAGGAGAAGTAGGGTCTGATTTTTGGGATGGAACCCTTTTTCTCTTCACGCCCTGCCAGATAGCTGCGTTATTTTGAGAACTCCCCTTTGAAGACGAATTCGTTTCCGTCTTCCTGAGTTCAAACATCAGAGACGCGAAACTACTAGCAATATTCGCATATGCAACCCTTCGGAACTCTTTAAGCTTCTCAGGTGTACAGGTCACGAAAATGAGCCAAATGAAGATCCGTAACCATCTGATCAGCTGAATGTTCCTTTGCCGGGCGATCGTCGAGCTTACTTGCGGTCCTCCGCTTTGGCCAGCACGTATGCGTCCTGGTTCGCCTTCCTGAACCCGTTCTTCTGCCCCGCCCACGATTGAACGGCAACTCGGCAGGAAATGGCGTCTTCGAGGGCGTCGTCCAACTGAGACGCCTGCGCGAAAAGACTGCCAGGTCAGAAGACGAAGCTGTTTCTACCTAACAGTTGCGGCGCTCCGGTTGAGCTCTGAACCCACACGCATCCTCAATATTGTAAGATCGAAATTTGAAGCGCCTCTAAGGTGCAAGCCTTTCAGTAGATAGCGCAGGAGTCCTCAAAGTGAGAGAGGCTGCAGGGCGGCTGAGCTTCTGCGCTTCATGCTTTCGATCGAGCTCACTAGAGCAGCCTGCTGAAATGAGACATCTGCAACTCCACTCGTGCTAAGCGACTACACCGCCTCAAGACGGCTTCTAATCAGTCAACACTCCTGCGATGGTTCAACAGCAGACGCAACATCAATTCCAGCTTCAGGAATCACTCGCCGTTGCCCTCACCGCAGCCCCTTCAGAGTCCTTGGGAGGCGTCGCCGGCTCGATGTCCAACTTGTCCTTCGCATCAGCCGCCTCGTTCTCGTCCCCTTCCAAAACGAGACCGCTCGGCAGCTCCTTTTCCGTGCCACCCGCCTTTCTGAACAGGACCGACAGGCGCCTTCTGGTCGGGCTTTCGGCAATGGCATCCTTCAAAGAAGCGGGCGCAGATCCGATGGGGGAAGTTTTGGCGTTGGCGATTGCCCCAGGGGAGCGGCCGAGGGTGGACTTGCGGGGCGACTCGTGCTCGCCAAAGCGGTCGGCGCCCTTCCCCCGAGGAGAGTGCCTGGTGGCGCGCGCGGGGCTCTGCAAGAGATCAGGAACAGAGACGTCATTGGTCGACAGCTTGTTAAAAAGAGTCGCTGCATTCCTCTCACCTACTTAAGCAGAATCGGCTATGCCTCCAGAAAAGCACGCCGCCGAGTCAAATTAACAACCGAACTCAAAGCGTTCGATTCGAGACGTGGACTTCAGCATGAAGCTGATATTGTACGTGCCCCAAAAAGCACTTCAAAAGCTGCTTACCAGCTTTCCTTTGGGAGATCCTCGTGGCGAGCTGCGGTTGCTGCTCTTTGGCGACTTGCGGACCTGGTTTTCTGCATCAAAGTCATCGCTGATGGTCCGACGCTTCGGAGAGTCAGCATGACTGCGTCCAATCTTCACCGAAAGCTTGGTGGCTGTCATGTTCACCTGAAAGCAAGAAGGTTGCAAAAAGAATTTGTTTTCTGACCGGAAATCCTGTTAAGGCGTGCCATGCACCCCAACTTTTGCGTTGAATAGTACTAGTTTTGCAGTTCCATTCAGCTTTTGCCAAAGCTAGAACCTGCCCCAGCTAAGCCAAGCCTAGATTGAGTGCTTTGGAGCCTGGGGATGTTGCAGAGTGGCAAGAGTCACCTTTTCAGGGAGAGCATACCATGCTTTGTCATCCTGAAAATGGATCCTCATGAAAAGTCGCTTCTGGAGGCAATCCTCGTCTTCTGTGTAGGTGGAAACCCTCTCTTTGACAGCAGGGCGGTGCATAGATGCAAGGTTTGCACAGTGCCCCTTCATGGTAAGTGCTAGTTTTCTTTCATGCATTATAAAGTACTCTTGTGATGGCAATGTTGGAAAAATGTTTGAGGAAGGTAAACCTAAACCTATACGTAGATCCCTGCTTCGAGAGTCTCTCAGGCAAAATCTGGCCAACCGCAAGCAGAAAGAAGGGCAGACTTTCCCTCATGACAAAGCCTGAGAATCTTTCCACACCTCCGAAGTGCCCCTCCCAAACTTCTTCAAGAGAAGAGGCACTGATCCTGGAGCAACCTGATCACAGCCTCTGATGTTTGTCTACCTTCAGTTGAATGAAAGGAACTGTCCAAAGAAGAAACTCAACAGTCCGGTGTCTTTGATTGTTGATAAACCCGTATGCCAGAAAGTTAAGACAGCCTTGCTTTCTATACTTCTGAACGGACATCCCTAAGGGGCACAATGTGGCATCTGACTCGCTCTTCTCCATTAAAGTCTGGACACCATGGAAGAATGCATTCCACTTCCGCTGATCCTGCTTGCTTCCGTTCAGCATCATCATGATCGTCTGTAAAGATTAATGTCTCAACATTTGCGCGCCCCGCTCTGCTCAATCTTGCACACTGCTGAGGGCCCCAGAAGATAACTGACCTCCAACTCTGTTGGCTTGGCCATTTTGACGTTACTCCCCTACAGGTGCCTCCCTTTCTGGATTCACCCCTTCCCTCAACCACAGTGGCACACGCCGCTTGCTCAGCATTGGCGACACTACCCTGCTTCCCTTTGTCAGAAACTCTTGTGGCACGCACTGCCCCGGCAATCCGCCCCTCAAAAACTACTTCCCTTTAGCCACGCCCATCCTTTGTTTACTCAAGCGCAGCCTTGCGAGCGTCTCCACAAGGAGACGTTTCTTTTGCCTTGTCGCATGAAGCGCCAGAAAAGTACAGTCATCTGTCTGTGCGGGCACTTCAAGCTTTGCATGGAAAGACCTTGTTTGATGGTGCCTTGTTGTTGAATGCGTTGATGGCTGGTGCCAGATCGATGCCAACCTGAATGTAGACACGCTTGCAGGCTTTCTGTGACCAATTCGCGCGCCCTTTGGGGCGCCTTCTCAGTCTTGCCGGCTCTTCACTTTCGTATCTGCGCAACTTGTCGACATCCGATCGGGCTCATGCAAGGCTTGCCACTTTCAAGATGATGATGGGATGATGATGGCCAGTTGAAACCTGTACGCTCAAGGGAGAGATACTCTATCTATCGAACGCAACCGGGCAGCTTGCTCCGAAACTGCTGTACTTGTGCGCCTGATTGTTCCTGTCTTCCTGCAAGCATGTATCTCAAAGACCCAACCACATGTGGACCAGGTTGCTCACATTTGTGCAACTCATATTCAAGGTCAGCATGAGGTTGCGCTAGGCAGCTACTCAGACTCGGATCTGAGCATAACCAAGCTTCAGAGCGGCCAGGGTAGCGGGCTACCGGTACGGTAGCCGAGATCAGGGAAGATTGTGTCCTGATTGACGCGCGCAAGTGTGAAGCGCATCAGATGCGAGAGCGCTCTAATCTGTGCGCTTTTGGATGGAACTTTGTACGTGTAGGCCTGGCATTGCAAATGGCTGATATGCATCACATGTAGATCTTAAAATATCGTCTGAACACAAGTCCAAATCGCCAAGGCCCGCTCCAGGTGGCGATACTCGGATGCAGCATTGTAAGCATTGCTCAACAATATCCCCCGGCTGCAGTACCTACCGGTATGAGACGCTCTCAGATGTACCTACATGCACGATGTACTAGATATAGGTGTAGGTATCTCGGCCCAGCGTAATTACCCCTCCCCAAGTCCCTTACCCCTTCAACTTGGGAATCCAGAAAATGCTTCCGTGCAGCACGATGGCCCAGGACAAATAAGCTAACCGGTACTGTTCGCACGTCGGCGTCATGTATTTCATCCAACGGCACAGAGCTCTCGGGAATTTTCAAATTCCACTTCATGAGAACCTCGGTTCCCAAACAACTTCCACGATACGGGCACTTCGTTCGACGGCGTCGCTAAAATCCGGGTCAGTGTGCGGGAAGTAATTGCATCGCATCGAAAAGCTGAGCCGTCGCGGTCGAGGGAATATTCAGATGCGGGAGGCTGGCGCCATATGCTATGCGCACAAGAATCTTCGCTTCCAGCAGGATTCTTCTTCGGGCCTGGCTACAGAGGGACCACTCAGGCAAGATCTGAGAAGATGCAAGCGCCCTAGCTAGGCGTTCTTGCTTGCATCATGCGAGCCCCAAACGGGGAAAGCACCTGGGTCAAGGAAGGAATTCCAGGGAACAAACGAGCTGGCGAGCTGACGGACGATGAGCAGGCACGTCATTCATTCTTCGGGCAGCTTTCTTCTGTGAGAAAGTGTCAGGAACAGCGCTTGATCTGCCACTGAGCTGCATCCACATAGAGGCTTTCTCAGCCATCGCGTTGGTTCTAAGCGCAGGGCACTCTGCGAGGGTTTGCAGGCTTAGAATTAGTGTGTGACTAGCTATAAGAAAGTCCGACGAAACGTAATCTGCAACTTCGAACGCACAGATCTGGCCGCCGCCTGGAAAAGTATCTGGCATGGCGCCTAATGCGACTCGCGAAGCCCACGGAGATGCATATCAAATAAACTTCTCGGATGGGGGTAAGACCAGTCTAGATAGATTTGATCGTTTCTGTGAAATGGCCGGAGGCGAGCTCGCGAAAGCACCCGACCACTCGCACGCGCCTGGCATTCAGAATGGGGAGAGAATGAACGGAGACTCCGGTGAGGGCGTTCCGGCGTTTGAACAGGGGCAGAGACTCGACCAAGCACCGGCGGGGTCGAGTGAAGACGATTCATTGTTGGAAGGGCGCCCGAAGCGAGTCGCGATCTTTGTTGAACCATCGCCGTGGTCGTAAGTCACTCCCTCCGACATAACTTTCTCAGCCAGTGCCAATAAGGATACACACTCTCTGTACTGATAATTGAAAACAGAGTCACGCTAGTGCAGTTCCTTTTGCCTCCTTTTGTGCCACAGGTTTTGAGAAGGAGAGAGGCAAAGTTTCTTCCTGTGTCTGCCTTGGAGCACGCGACAATACTTTTTGCTAGCTGACCCCCTAGCCCTTTGAAGCCTCTGATGGTTGATTTAAGTGGGCCTTTTTCTGCCCCTTCCTAGTGGCATTCACAGGAGTCTTCACTGGTCTAGGGGAAGGTGCCGGATACTACCGTCTCTTTGATCTTGATAGCCTGTCAACGCTGATGTCAGTCGCAATTTCTATTGTGTGGCCTTTTAGGGTTGCCTGATGTCTTTCAAGGGGTCGCTCTCTGCTTCTGCAGAAGCCACCACAGGGCAAATGTTATGTTGAGGCCTTACTACAGGTCTGCGTTATGTTGAGCAGACCTGGTCGTATCTGCTCATTCTGCTTCAATGCAGACCGCCTCTTATACCTTCCTTGGAAGATTGTGTCTCTTGGTATTCATCAGTCGCTGCCAAGGTTTTTCCAGTCGGTGCGCCGCACTGACTGACCACCATATCTGCTCATTCCCCCAATCTTTCATACAGGGCAGTGCTCTGAAACGTGTGGAGGGAAAAAGCACTTCGATGATCGCTACTGCTTTCCCCCCCTGCTTTTTCACTTGCTCCCCTTCTGGTCTCCTTGCCTATGAACTCATTGTAGGAAGGGCTCTCAGCTGTGAGGTCACCCTCACAGCCGATATTTTGCATCAGTTTCCTTAGCTGGTATTCAGAAGGTTAATTCTCAAAGCCCTTGATTTTCAAGAAAGTGGTGCCGTTTGGCGTGAAGTCCTGTGCTAATCTGAGATGGTCCATACAGCAAATGCCAGGCCTGTGCAAATTTTGATAAGTGTTTGTCGGCTGACTATCAAGGACTGGCAAACGATATTCTAACCCACGCAGGTTAGTGTACTTACAAGCGTTGATAGTTTGATTGGGTGTACCTCTTAACCCCTTGCTTTGCCTTGACAGGTACACCAGTGGTTACAAGAATCGGTACCAAAACTTCATCAGATTTCTTCGGGAGCAAGGGGACGAGGTGGGTTAAACCATCGTGCTTCCTCCAAAACCAAGCTTAGGACCTTTGGTGGTTTTGCCCTCTGGTTTTCAAATCGTATTTCTGCATCTGAAGAGGCGTGTGCATTCTAATGACAAGCTGGCCCGTTTCTCTGACTACGACCCAAGTTTCGTGTTTTTGTCATATTGCCTCTAGTGGCAGGAAGATCAGACACCGTGTTTCTCATGATCGAAGATGCAAAATTACTGGTACTGCCATTGGTTGACCTCCCCTTATACCAGAGCACAGCGATAAATCCACGATCGACGTCTATCTACGACTTACGCCTCTTCACCAGATTTTCGCTGGGCCTCCAAAGTCATCAAAGGGCAATTTGTCAAACAAGCCATCAAAGCGAAAGAAAGAATAAGTAACAGTCAGTAATGCCAACTAAGTTTTTGGGTTGGGTTTGTCTTGAGAGCATCTTGAGAGCATCTTAAAGAAGCTATCAGAAACCAACAGAGTGAACCCAAAAAGTGAAGCATTTGGAGCCCTGGTTACACGCAGGTGTTGGTTATTACCACCCATGAAGGAGCGCCGAAAGAGTGGTATGGCGCCAAGGTAGTCCCGTCGTACAGGTACGAAGGCTGACCTCTTCAGCTCTTTCGCCTTGACTTTTCTGTCCACAAGAGCTGGATCATTTGCCGCTCTTCCCAAACCTGCCCCGATAAACTGAATAGATTTTTACATAGTTGCATAGCTATGAACGTTGCGAAATTGGACAGGTGTGACTCATGTAAACATTCAAGGCTGCCTCAACTCGACAAGTTCGTTGCAAGATATCTGAAGGAGGTCGAAGTATAAATATGTTTTGCATCTCATGCATTCGGCTTCTTAGTTGTCCCTTCTCCCTTTCTCATATGGGACCTGCTCTGCTCAAACTTTGCACAGGTCGAAGTGCAGATATAAGTTCACCTTGCTTTCTGCAGCGTCGAGTTCCCTTTCTACTCGAAGCTGCGCCTCTCCCTCGCCCTCAGCTTCCGCATCTTCAACATCGTCCGGGACTTCAAGCCTGACGTCATCCACGCCGCCTCCCCCGGGATCATGGTGGGCCGCATCAAAAAAATACCGAGCTGTTTATTTTCAATCCATTTTCAGACCCTCGATATGTGTGTATCTAGAAGCGAGCAATCTGTACAAGGTTGGACTCGGAAATCAGAAATCAGAACATAGAAATCTTAAAGGCGGATTTTAACGGTAAAAGACTGACAGTGATAAGGAAGTCAACGAGGACGGGTTGGGTTAGGTTTAGGGTTCGATTCGATGATGGTTGTGGTGCGGCTCAGCTCACGCTGTGCCTAGGGTTTCAGTGCTGGTCGTAGAGAGATGCCTCTTCGTTATTCCCATAACATCCTGATTACATTATAATTGGTCCCAATCACAAGTCTCATAATACTCTGAAACCTTGTTGCAGGTCATGGGGGCCCTTGTATACTCTTATACCCTCCAAGTCCCGATCATCATGACGTACCACACGCACCTCCCCGTGTACATTCCCAAGTACAAAATCATGGGCTGGCCCTCTAACTGGCTCGTGAACCCCGCCTATCTGTACATAAGTAAGCAAGTTCCCTCCCTCTTGTGATCGTTCAGTGCTTGTGGTCTTACGCCAATTGCAGCTGGGGAATCGTGCACGATCCTCGTAATGCGTCTTTGGTGTTGAAAACGAGATAAGGTACTTGCTTTTAGGGAGAGTTGAGATTGTTGTTTGGGTGCGAACAACACACAAACTGCGACGCTCTGGGCTTGCGACAGCCACGCTCGTGCATGAGTCGTCACTTCCGAATCTCTTCCTTGAACTTGCCTTACTTTCTTTGGGTAAATGCTTGGCGGGTCTCGACTCCACGCAATCTGGTCCCTCCACTCTTGACATCCGAATATCGTCTCAGCTCGACTGTGTGAGACCTTTGTTGCTCACAATCGTCTTCTTCGATTACGCAGGAGCACTCCACAACCTAGCCACTTTCACTATGACCATGTCCGAGGAGATGCGCACCGAGATGCTCCGCTTTGGAGCTGCCAGACGTTAGCCTTTTCGCCGTGCCCAGACTCTTTTTTCTGATTCTGAATCTACCGTAGCCTCTTTCAATACTAAACTTGGGAAGAGCTGTTTGGTGGTATCCAGATTTATGGGGTCCTTCAGAATGCGACTGGCCAGGGTCGAAGCGCATCGAAGCAAGCCCGATTTTGTTGGAAGCAGATCAGGTCTCGTTGAAGCAATCAAAGGGGGTATCGAAGCAGTTTGGTGTCTATCTTGAAGCAGATTGGAAATGCATCGAAGCAGTTCGCGATCATGTCGAAGTGATTCCGAAGCTGATGACGGTAGTTCCGAGGGCCTACGGGATTTTGGAACCAGAATGTGTCCGGCTCATCCGGAAGCCTGTTCAAAATGCTTGCAACAGATCGATTACGTTTTTTGGAGCGACTGCAAGTTTATAAGCTTCCTTCATGAATCAACAGAATCGTTGTCACTGGCAATGGTCCGAGATCCGGAGCTGCTTTTCACGTGCAGTAGGGCCGTTGTGTCGTTGGCAAACCAATTAGGCAGGCAGGTTTTCACATCGGCTACCTTGTCGATCATGAAATACGCCACGATCGTAATCAGCCGCTGCGACTTCTGCGATTGTCGAGGTAGCCTTAAATTTCGGTTCGTGTCTGCAGCTTCTCGTATTCGGGTCTGGAAGAAGGCTGTCGACTCGGAGCAGTTCCACCCGTCCTTTGCAAGCACTGAGTGGCGAAACAAGCTCAGGTGAGACGCTTACTTCTTGCAATTCCTCCTCTTCATTTCCTTCTTCGCGGCATCTGTCAGAACGGTAAGAAGCACTCAAACTGTGTCGTTCATCTAACCTGACCCTTGACCCCGTTTTTGTTTTTGTTGCTGTTTTCGGATGCCCATTTCGTATTGCCGTAAACCCCTGCCTGCACGTGTCGATTGACTTTCACATTAAGTTTTTGGTACGATTTTCTCACCATGCGAGCACCTCGACTTTTGCAGCCCCAATCTACGCCTACCGTACCGATTGTCCGGTTGGGCAGACTTTTACCCAATAATTTATTCATATATTTTGACATTTGGGCAGCTTGAGATTCGAATTTACGTGCGTTTGAAAATCTGGGCAAACTCCAAATCGTGCTTTTTCTTGCCTCTTTACGGGGCAAAACACTCGAGCGAGCAGAAAGAAATTATTGTGCATTTGGAACATTGGGCGAAATCTGCCCACCAGTTTTTCAAATTTATGCACGCCAGAAAATATTTTAGTTTTGCCAATCGGTACGGTATCGTTGACGTGAGAATAAGCACCTGTTTCTTCTTAGCTCGCTCAAGTAACATTGTCATGGTCCCCACTTTCAAAGCGTTTCGTCTTTTGTCGCAGCGGTGGCCATCCAGAGCGGCCGTTGATTGTGCACGTGGGTCGGCTAGGCCAGGAGAAACAGCTCTCCTTCATCAAGCTGTGAGGGATTGCTGAGCTCCCTTCTCCGTTTTTTTGCGCTCGCTACGGATTATCCTGGTTATCTTTCTGAATTGATTTTTGGAGGTCCTTCGAAAAGAGGAGGCGCAGACAGGCTGTGGCCGAAGGAGTTCTAAAAACTGCACCAGCAGAAGAGCTAGGAAGCAAGCTCGGGGCTTGCTTCTAAGTTGACTCGAATCCAATCTCGAGCTTGGAGTTGTGCCTTTCTACCCCTGTGGCGAAGACGATGGGTTTTGGTCGACAGAGAAAGTGTCCTTTTTGCTATTTGTCTCATGATCTTTTTCAGCTGTCCTCATTGATCTCAAATTCGGGGGATCGTGGCAACTTCACAAGTGTAATCTGCGACGGAGGTGTAGAAACGCTTTCTGTCACGACGATTATCTCTGGTTGTACAGTGGCGGTGGTTGCAGTGGCGAGCAGATGGTACATGACCAATACTTTTCTAACGTACTGTGTTGCCGCAGGATTTTGGAGAGGATACCTGAAGCCTCTCTTGCGTTCGTTGGAGACGGTCCACACAGGTCAGAACCTAAGGCTGCTTCTTTTTTCGTTCTTGGGGGGAGATGCTCTGAAAGGAATGCTAGCCAGCGACTCTCTTGGTCGGCAGTTCCGGGCACCAACTCAAGTTTGAGAGCGACACAGGTCCGCATGAAAGTGAGCAGACAATCTCGCATTTCGTTAGGCGTGCTTTTGCCAGGGTACGATTGACATGTGCTAAGCATCAAAGGGCTCCCTCTGAATTCACAATTTCTGCTGTCGGGCCGCTGCCCAACGGAGGGCCGAAACCCCAATCGGAGCCAGAGTAATTTGATGGAGGTTCCTGCAATAAGTCTTAGTAAGCAGAGATTTATCCAGGATGTCAGGAACTAGAAGAAGGTGGAATAAGGACAGCGGCAAAGAATGCGAACCTGTAGGCTCCGTGCGGCCCGCTTGTTTAGAAGGCAAGTTTGAACGTATTTCACTGGCGCTGCGCAGGCCCCAGCTCGAGGAGATGTTCCAGGACACGCCAACGGTCTTCACCGGCATGCTGTCGGTGAGCCCTCTTGACCTTCTCCGCACTTCGCAATCGCAGGCACTCCTGCTGGTACCTCCCGGTTTCGAAATGATTTCTATCCTTGTCCTTGGCGAGGTAATCTTGCTGTCCTGGTCGGATTGTCAGCTGCGTATCCCCTACACATCCTGTAGAGTCCTTCTGCGAACCAGGTTATAAATGCAAAGCATAGCCAGACTTTGCGGACAGGACGCAAATTGTCCACGGCTTACACAAATACCGTCGTTCCCTTCAAGCCCAGTGAGATGGAGGCCTGGACCCGTTTCGTGTCCTTCCCAAACTCAATCTCAATTAAATTCCAAAGTCTCTTTCGTCTTTTGACAGGGTGCGGACCTGTCCGCTGCATATGCGAGCTCGGACGTCTTCTTCACCCCCAGTGAGACGGAGACCCTGGGTTTGGTCGCTCTAGAGGCGATGGCGTGCGGGACACCTGTCGTGGCTGTGCGCGCGGGGGGCTTTATCAACATCGTGGACAAGGAGGGGGAGACGGTAAGTCCTTTTCGGATCACTCCGATACCTTTCTTCTCGTAGTTGTTGCCTTCGTTCGCATGCCTTGTTCACATTTTTGATCCTCCCGCAAATGTTAAAGGATTTCACCGAGTCAACCATCAAAAAAGAGGGCATTGACGTCGATGCGGACGGGAGATTCTTGGGTTTCCTTCAAGACGGTACCGCAAAAGAGACTTCCTTATTTGAACAATTTCACGTCTCCAATCCCCGTGACCAGAATCTTGAACCTGAATAGCTTTCAGGAGGTGGCGGGTTCGTCGAACCTTTGCGACGCTCAAGAGGCGCCTTGGCTGGCTCTTAGAGAAATTCCTTCACGACCATCCAGTAAAGGAGTGTCAGTGCGATGAGGCTAACCGTATCCGACTATTTTCTACGCAAGGCAGTTCGTTGAATTCTTGGAGCGAGAAAGAGTGTCAAGAATCGTTTGGAAAGAAATTCGTGCAGTCACTGGGTCGGAAAGAGGTCTGAAATCGGGAATTCTTGGGCGACAGAGAGTCCTAAGCATTACATGAGCTGCTGGGCGAAGAATATTGTACAAGCACTTTGTAAGCTACTGGACGAAAAAGAAGTGTAAGGCAGTGTCTGGTTACTCGGCGGCAAACAGGAACTCGCATTTGTTGTACTCTGCAGGGCTTTTTGTACACGCCAGGCGACATTGACGACGCCGTGGCCAAGCTGCGCAAGCTGCTGTTCGACAAAGAGTTCAACAGAAAGGTGGGCGCTTCAAGCTTTGGAGTTTGGTTCGAGGACTGGTCTGGGGCACGTAGCAGCTCTTATCTCTTCGCGAATCTAAACGAGTGGCGAGCTTTCTTTGCATTCGGTGCTGCCTCTGCGACTCGTTGGTCGCGATTTCGGAATCGACAACCGAAAAGTCAGTTTCCTGAATCGTGAGTACAAATGACCAGGAGTGCAGAAGTGGACCTCCCAGGTTTATAAGCTTGATATGAATCGTACGTTTTACGCAGCTCCGTTTGGAATCATGAAGAACGACTGTCGAACGAATGGAAACACCGTCTACGTGTTCGAGAACGACCAGATTATTGGTCGTCTCTTTTCTAAAGATTAGGACTTTCGCTCCAGATTGCTGCGGCTGCCCGGAAGGACGTGGAGCGGTACGACTGGCGGGCGTCGACGCGGCAGGTGCGGCGGGACGGGTACGACATGGCGATCCGTCTGTGGAGGAAGGCGCAGCGCGCGCGGCAGTCGTGGCGCAGCTGGCTGCCCTGGACGTGGTTTGCCAAGCTGGATTGAGTGGGGACAACTAGAGCGACGGAGAACGGGGAGCAGTGCGGTTTGGCTCCTGGGGAAGTTTTTGAGTGCTGCGGGAATGAGTGGGGAGAACGCTCGAAGGGGACGGTCAAGGTTATCAAAATAAAGAACGGCGTGAAGGGTGGCGCGTAGAGCGGCAGTCTGCAACGAGAGCGGAGGAGGTGGGGAGGCGGTATGCAGAGAGGGACTTTCTGATAGCGGCGAAGGAACTGGAGGAACGGGATTGGAAATGCATCCCGAAGAATGGGGGGATTTTATGGTAGATTGAGTGGTGGTCCATGGGTTCGCGCTAGGCCTGTTACAGACGAAGGTAATTCTAATAACGGAGAGTGGGCAAGGGGGCTGTGTCACGTTAGTGATTGGCTCGTATGGGTATGTCAACGCAATGCCCTCTGTGTGGACGTCTCTTTGTATCATAGAGGGAGGCTTGTGATCGGTAAGCAAGTTCGGCCTGGGTGTGAGAGTACTGGGGCTTTGAGAGATCCGGAGTCTTGCCGAGGCAGAGGCTGCGTTGAATCAAGCAATTTTGATTCGGATAGAGCGCCGAGTGCTAGGTTAGCTTATCCCAAGAGGCTGCCGACTAATCAATTCTCTTTGACTCGCCATGTCCTTAATTGTTAAGGTAGGCGCAATATTAGACAGGTATGATTTGTATGTTTGCCCGCAGGAGGGCGTCCTTCCGTAAGTTGAGGGGTTAAAGGGAAGCTGGGGGAGACCAACTTTTGAGAACGTACAAACGTAGGTGATTGTTTCGAGACCTCCTTTGGAGAGCGTTGTTGGCGGCAGTAACGAGCGCACAAGGTCACCAATGTTTGTCGCGCGCCACGCGGGCGAGCCCGGGCCCGGGGTTGCCTGCACATGCGGCTGCAAAGAACGTTGAATTGTCGGATTGTATATGATATACCATGTATACCATGTCGATCATTGTCATAGTATCGATCAAAGTAGCTTACATGCTAATATGGGCCGCCCGCTTGCAGTATACCGTCCGTACGTGTCGGGTTAGTACTGTGCGCATACATCTTAATTGTAGTCGAACCCAACTTGGATCTGCCAATATTACTTTGATCCGGCGCCATGACAAGTCCGACCGTGCGCATGTCGCATGATGTACCGCTCCGGCCGCGGTGCCATGTACGACGGTCCAGATTATATCGAATATGCTTGGTATACTCGCGGTGTCCATGTTATCTAGAACCGTCATGTGCGGACTATTTGATTATACTGTAATATGCGCGCTACATGCCCGGGATCATTGTATCCTGATCATGCGCCAGAGTCGGCTCAGGCATGATGCAAGTGCACCCAACGGCGAATGTGGAACCCTTGCGAGATACATCGTGGCATGCATGCATCTCTGACTGCAAAACTCTGCAGAAAGTTCGTACGTCAATCCATATAACCGCGTCCGACCACTGCCTGGCCCATTTAACCGTCTTGACAAAACTTTAGTTAAGTTGCACTGCACGTTCGTTCTTGGCAGCCGTCCCGCACAGCGCCGCAAGCAAGCTGTGTACTAAAAAGACTGGATGACCAAGCGCTCGCTAGAGTCGGCCGCCAAATGGCGCCTGGATAATGACCGAGTCTGCTGTCTGCCAGTTCTCCAACGCCGCAACTGAGAGTTGCGAAAACCAACACCGAAATTCAATGTCTACGTTTCTTTGGTCACGCCAAGACCGGCTAATATTGAGTAAGGTCCTAAGCCTCCCCCCAGCGGACCCAGCTACTTATTCCGTAAGCAGTGAGCACCTGTAAACCAAAGAGCAATAATCTTATGGGTACAGATGCAGGCAGCTCAAGCTTTGCATTGGCTCAAAGCTCTAATCCCCTCGCAGCGGAACGCGGATCAAGATCCGGATTCGTTTTTTCGCACATTTCCATGCCAAACAATGGACCCTTCCAAAATGTCGACGTTCAAGCAAGACAAACGCCGTTTGACCTGTTGTAAACCATCTGACTGTCGGCAGACTTATCATCAGATAGCCGGATGAAGAACAACGGACACGATGCAGTGCCACGTGCTGTACTGTAGGCTCTGACATCTCCTCGACTGTAGAGAACGGTTCAGACTCAAGTCTCCTGGACGGCTTGTCTTGTGGACCAAACTTGGCCTCAAGAAGACCGTGTTCTCACCACAACCATGAAGCACAGATGAACCGCGTCGTTCAAGTCCTGCACGAACGCGTGTCTCTCAAAGCTGATAAAGTGCTAACTAACCTTACATTTGGTGGAGTCTTGCGCACTGCTTCTCCCTGCGGATTCCCCGGGCACGTCCCAAAAACTTCCCCCGTGCCCGGCCCAAATCAACCTTCCGGTTCGTCTCTCATCGCTATCTTCTCTGCCGTGCCCGGTTGAGCCAACCAGGCTCTGACGTCATCCCCGCTGGCCACATAGCTTCCGAGTCTCAGAGGCTCAAACGGCGCCCCCAGTTTCCGGAGCAAATCCCCGACCGCTCTTCCGACCACCGCCTCCCCCTCCCCTTTGCTGTGCTTACCCCACCCGGTGATTGCCCTCACTACCCGGGGCAACACCACCCGCCCTCCTATCGGCCCATCCTCTTTTGTCGATGTAAACGACGCTGCGCTCGACGACAAGTGGCTTTCAAGCCGACCGTCATCCACTTGATCTTTGACGCGTGGCTGCAAGAAAACGTGCGGCTTCCCATAGTCACGAAGTAGGCATGATGGATACAGCAAATGTACAGGCAGAGTGGTGTGTTCGGAGCGGGGAGAATAAACCCCTATCAGCTGGACTTTATTCGGAGCCGTTCTTCAAATCAAAGAAAGCCGGAATCTGAGATAGCTCCGGTTCGAAAGCAAGGCAGCAAGGTGCGCTTCTCTTTCAAAGATCTCCAGTAAAGGTAGCTTTCTGAAAAGCCACAGCGGAGCAAACGCTGATTTAGAGCCTGAAGAGTCGCTTACTGCATGCTCCCCAGCTACAAGTCCCCCAGGGGGATCCCCCGGGGCGAAATGAAGCAGCTCCGTCAGCTCCTGAAACCAGACCAGTAGCATCATCCGTGCAGCCCCAGGGGACACCCCGTGCAAGTCAGCCGTCCACTCTTCCCCCCGGGTTACAAACGCCCCGCGGTAGACCCCCCTACGGCGAGCCTCGTCCAAAACGTCCGCCGCTCGGCCTCGCAACCGTTGGTGCCAAAGCGCACCTATGAGCTGACTGTAAAAATCGCACTGCTGCGGGTAGGTTAACTCGTCAACCCCGTCTAACAACTTGTAAACCCCGGAAGCCTCAACGGTCTTTGAAGAGTCCAAAAGCAAAACCGTTGCCCGGAACTCGTGGGCGTCGCAGCTCCCGATCGCGTCCATAAGCGCCCGAGCGCCTCCATAAGCGGGCCCTCCCTCTTCCAAGCGTTTGCAGAGCGCTGACATCATGCAGACGTAAGCGTGCAGGTCGGGGCGCACCCCCGCGCTCAGCATCGCCCGGAAGACTTCCGCGGCCTCCTCATCTGCTGCCACGTGGCACAGGTGCCGGATCTGGACGGTGTAGATCGCGGCGTTTGCTGGGCACTTGAACTCGCTAACCATGCGGGTTAGCAGACGCCGACCCTCGGCAAACCGCCCCGAACCGAGATACGCATCCAGCAGCGCCGTGAAAGTCCGCACCGAGGGTCTCACTCCCGCTGACGTCATCATACCGAGAGCATTCTCGGCCTCTGAATATTCTCCACACCGCGCCAAAGCGTCGACCAGGGCGGTCCAAGCAATGAGGTTTGGTGTCAATTCGGCGGACTGCATCTCAGCAAAGACGGACTTGACACCGGCGGCGCGGCCGGCGTTGCCCTGGGCAGTGAGCCGGGCGACGTATACGATGTGGTCAGCCGCCAGGCCCCTTGACACCAGGTCCTGAAAGGGCGGAGCAAGCAGACTTTGTGTCAGGATAAGAGGGTTTGGTGTTAAGGGTGAAGACTCGAGCACGTAGGCTTTTGAGATTACAGACTTGATTGCAAGTTCTCGACCAACAATACTTTGGGCCGTCTTTGATCGACCGATTTTCCACCGCAGAAAGGGAGATCACTGAAGATTCTCGCTCTGATGCTACGGCAGCTTCTTAGAAAGAAAGTAGTGCAACTTTCTTTGGCCAGCGATAAAGCAAGCTGAAACAAGGTAAACCAAGCCAGTCAGCAACGAGGGCTGCGAACTTCTTTCTCCAATAACTATGGCAATCTGTTTCGAACGAGAGTACCGGCTCAGCGGACAGCCGCTATGTTTCGCTTAAACAATGCTGAGACAAGAATACATCCATTCAAAGACCGGTGCGAAAACGCTCTGCCAACAAGAGTGAAGCGTGGCGACGAACAAACTTCAAACGACCGACTTGCCAGCAAACACCACGAGACGACAAGTCACCAAGCAGAAACTTCGTCGACAGACGATGCTCACCCGGAAAAGATGCTCGGTGCTGTCGCAGTCACCAGCACGCGCGTAAGCGCTCATCATAGCGGAAACGTGAGCTGTCTCGGGTGACACGTGGCGGTCTTTTAGCATCCGCTCAAACGTTGCCTCGGCCTGAGACAGGCCCCCGTTGATCCGGCCGTACATGTCGATCAGGATTAAGTAGGTAACCTGCATTACGAAGAGTGGTTAGGTTGGTTGAGTTACTTCCTGTCATCACAGTGAAAACGGCGGCCTTCGTAATGTCGTAGGTAAGGAGACGACAGCGATCGATGATCCGTCAAGACAACAATCTGATTGACAGGGTCGATAAATTGGACCAAGTATCAACATTGGGCCTGCGCAACAGCGAGTGCAGATACCAAGCAGGAAGTGAGGTTTTCGTCGCTCCATGGTTGATGGAGATTTTGACCGGGAAGATACACTAATCTTCGGCTTTTGACAAAAACTGCACATGTGGTTCTCTTCTCAAAGCAACATATCCGAGTATGTAAGCCCAGGCAACGGACGTTTGTATAGGAAAGCGGGTGAGAGATGGTCCTGCGCTGAGATGCACGAGTCACAATTACCGGATTGGAACCAATGGAGGAAGGACCCGATTGCAGCCGGAATCCAAAATCATCTTCTGAGCCCTCAGCCCATCCAATTTTCGTGACAATACGAGCTTGATTTGCCATCCGTCTCTTACCAGAGATGTCTCGTGCTTAGCCTGAAAATCTTTCTGAAGGTGGTCACTCAAACAGAAAGAGTCAGCGAGATCAGCGAAACAGGCCCAAATTTCACCTGTTTGGGTCGCAGGCTACTTCTCCGCCGCTTATGACAGCGGATTCGTCAGCTCTTAGACCAGTGATTGCAAGTACTTCACAGTACACAAAAGTCCGAGAATGGGAAGCAATTCCTCTGATAAACCTCAAACTCACCCCGCTTGGCCGCACCCCTGCCGCCCTCATCTTCGCTACTAGTTCCTCCGCCTCCTCTGCCAGCCCCTTCGTCCCGAGCACCTTGAGCGCGGAGTTGTAAGTGATGACGTCAGCAGCCACCCCCGCTGACGTCATCTCCCTGAGCACCCCGCGCATGCGGTCGACTCCCCCCTTGACGGCGCCGCAGGCGGAGATGAGCGTGTTGAACGTGACGGTGGAAGGTTTGCATCCCGCCGCCGGCATTTGTTGGAATAGTGCGAAGGTGTGCGAGGGGCGTCGGGCGCGGACATAAGTGGCCAATGCCATGTTGAAGTGCTGTGGATTTGAGGGAGAGGAATCGGGTAAGCGAGGTGGTTGAGGTCGTAATCAATGTATCAGTTCCTGTGGATTTAGGGGCCAGGAAGGATTGATTGACGCAGGTGGTTGAGGAGATAAACGGGTTTTTATGGTATAGATGAAGTGATTAAGTGATCAAAGTGATTAAAAGCGGAGAGACATGAGCGGTGAACCCCATGTCACGTTGAAGTGCTGGGTCCTGGGGGGTAGGATGCAATGAAGTCATGAATGAGTCATCTGTAAGCCTGAAGTGAGATTTACCCTCAAAGTAACATTTTCACCAAGGTCAATGAGACGCAACGAGCCGAGACAACTTTCCACGAATCTTTGAATATCGGGGATAATCTCAGTTTTTCAATTCCCAAAGCGACTCTGTTTGCAGCCTTCGCAGGCAAAAGGCTGGCTCTGAGAGTGTGCCCATCAATGAATGGCTATTTTGAAAACGTTGAGGAAAACAGTATGCAGCTGAAAGCAATGAAACTCTCAATCTCACTATCTGTGCAATAAAAGACAGCGCGGAACCTTACATTGAGACGCACATAAGCAAAGAGAGAACGCTGTTCCGATATGTCTGACCTGGGTGGTACGAGGAACCTGGCGTCGTTCCATCAGCTCAAACACACGCTCCACGACGTCAGTGCTGCCGCTCCGACTCGCAGCTGCCAGAATGTTTGAGCACTGCTTCTCAGTCACCCGTTCTTCTGTGTTCTCCGCCAACCACGCTAGCACTCTTACTGCTAAGTCTGGACCCCCCTGAGGCAAACGCCCTATCCGCTCCAAGGCCTTTGTCCACCCTCTCGAGGTCTTTGGTAGGTGCCGGGCAAGAATTTGACTGATGCACTGGTCCAAGTCGGAGCCTCTTCTTCTGAGCGACGCAACTTTTCTGAGCTCTTGTACTAAGTCGGTTTGAAAGGGGCCGGTTGGGGCGCTTCTGTCACCAGCGGAGGGGGGGCCAGAAAGGTCCGTATTGGACTGCAGCTTTGGTCGGGGCAAAGGTGGGGGCTTAGGAGGGGGGCCTGATGTACCTAAAGACAAACAGGATCTAGCATCTGCAGCTGGCATACCATAGCTGATGTTGCTTGCTCTATGGCTCTTACAGCTTACGGGTGCCGCTGCAGGAATAGCAGCACTTACGCCATCAGTAGGTAGGCCATCATGACTAATTGCAAACTTTGTGCCACTAGACTGAGCATTGGTGGGGGTTACTGCGTGCAGCTGCGTGGGCCTGATTGGTTTGCAAAGACATACTTCTTTGGAACTTGGCTCAGCCGGAGGGTGTCTCTTTGCTGGCTGATTATATTGGGGAACCCGGCTCAATTTGCTAAAATGTCCTGGGATGGCATCTCTTGAGACTCCTTTCCGTCGTTCTCGACAGCTAACATACAAGCAGAAGGGTTTGAACCTCCATAATGATTGAAGATGGGGCTGGGTCCTTGAGAGAAGGCAGCCATGGAAGGGCGGGACGTCCTTTGACAAATACTTTGTGAATGCTGCAGATGCAATGTAAGATTGAGACAGAATGTTGGTAGATGGCGGGTACACCAGAGTGCCACTCATCTCTGCAGCTAAAGGAAGGAATCAGTAGCATGAAGCGTCTACTTACCTACAAGTAGAAAGACATGTTGTTCGTTGAGCAATGTTTTAACGAAGGCAAACAATGGCCCCACAATGGCGGGCCCTTTCTTTCTGGTCAGCTTGTGCTCACCGCATTTAGGGTTTGCAAACGTTTAGGGTTTATGATGGAGGACTCATTCCTCTACATGGATTCCCCTTGGTCACGCAACTCAAATCTTCGGTGGAGGGCGTACCAAACCTTTACTGTAGAGGACTGCGCCCCTCAAAGAATGGAGCCGGCCCCTTTAGTCCTCCCTTTCCAAGCTTCTGAAAGAACAGCACGAGGGGCCTATTGCAGGCGGCCACCATGGTGAGAAGGGACTTTTGCTGACCTTCTTGAGTTCTCCTCCCGTTGGGGATGCCCAAGCCCCTTACATGGTTTGGCTCAGAGAGGGTGTAAAATCGGTGTTTTTGGGGCAGAGACGGGAGGCTCAATTTGCAGTACTATTTTCATCTGGGGGCAGTAAGCCGTCGCTTTTCAGCATCATTCGAAAAGAACAGGATAGTCGAAGTTGGTAACGTGGTAGGTCTTTAAGCGGCTTTTTCTGTCCATCTGATTTTGATTGCTGAACCGTCTGCTTTTGTTTGCAGCCGTCCCAGAAGACCTTCAAGATCAAGCAGATCTTGGCCAAGAAGCAGAAGCAGAACAGGCCCATCCCGCAATGGATCCGCATGAGGACAGATAACCGCATCAGGTGAGCTAGAGGGAAGCCAGCATGCCATCAGCGGCAAGACGGACAGTGGGGCTGGGGGAGGGGCATCAGCTGGGTTATATATCGACCATGGTAATGGTCGTAAGTTGGTCATGAGTGGGCAGCGCGAGATGGACAGCTGGATGGAAGAGTAGTGAAGAAGAAGGTCATGGAGTAGGTACTAGCGCACCGTTACCGCGAAAGCAGCAAGGCCAGGGGCTTAACAAACCAACGCCTGTATCATTGCTCCAACTAGCTGTACTGGTGGGACGCCTAACAGATATTGGGCTGAAATCAAGGGCTTTTTTTCCAAGTAGACCGCATTCTGACGTCTTTCCGGTAGCAAAAATACCGGTTACTGATATTTGGGCTGTGATGGAGGAAGGAGGTTTTTCCAAAACCTAGTTACTGATACTGCAGGGTGCTGCAAGATAGGTATGCATGTGGTTATGTCGGTTCAGCAGGTAGCCAAAGGTGTTGGGTCAGTGTTCAACTGAGAATGTTAGTGTAATTTCGGTGTATGGATTGTTTAGTCAAGCAGTGCGTTATGACTGGAATTCTGAAGTCTTAGAGAGGCAGGGGCCAATAACAAAATTGTCACAAGTTCCATGCTTCGAGCAGCTGAATGGTGCGGTCCAGGCTGCCAGTTTGGAACGAGGCTGGGCACAATGAAGAAGCATTGAAAGACAGGTGTAGGCAACATCGATTGTGGGGTTGTGGCGGAGGAACGAAGTCATCGAAGGCTCAAGCTAGAATTGTAGTCACGTTGCACTACAGTGAAAAGCTTCTATTGTGGTCTATCTGTAGACCGAGCGAAATGGGCTAAATCATAGCGGGCGATACGACGTTTGTGGCTTGACCGAATTTGGCGGAGCAGGACAGGATTACTATGTGGGCTGGGAGCTTTGTATTGATCTCCTTCTCTTTACCTTCTGCACGCAATTCCTTTGCCACCGCCGGCCATCAATTATCTTTTTGGTTTGCCAGAAGTCTTCGCGTAGATTCATGCTAGCATGATTCGCAAGGCTTCCATCTTTCAGAACGTCTTTTTCTGCTGCCGTTTCATTATCTCATCGACTTTGCAGTTCCTGACACGGCTCGCGCCGAGGGCAGTTTGAATTTCTGCTAGGATATAGCAGATAGAGGACCCCCATGGTTCTTGAACAGCTTCGAAAAAAGCCTTGCCATCAGGCGTTTGAACGTTGTCATGCCAGGAAGCCTACTATTGTTGGCGTGGAAAAGCTTACACTGCTTATTTCTTTACCTCTCAGGTACAATGCCAAGAGGCGTCACTGGCGCAGGACAAAGCTCGGGTTGTAGATTTGCAGCGGTGCAAAGGGACATGGACTGCAGCATTATGGTCAGGTGAATTGTGCTGGCAACCTGCTGAATCTGCATAAGACACCAGGATACTTTACAACAGGATCTTGGCACGGACTCAGCAGAATATCCGGCTGTTTCGCCTAAGCCATATTCTTCGTGCACCTCTACCCTAGTGTGCCGAAGCTCAAGCGCCACATGTTATCATGTTCCCTATCGTTCTATCCCTCCGCGATGCAAGTCGGTGGAGGCAACAACAAGTCGTTATGGAATGATGATGCCACATGTGGAAGATGCGGTTTGCGATCCTTTACAGGCGGCTCGGAAACCCAGGGGTCAGGTTATCGAGAAGAATTGAGCCAGTTTTATGCAGCTCGCTAAGGAAGGCTTTTTGCTCCAGAGCGGCAATGCTCCGACCGTGTTGCAGGTCGGAGTTGGATGGCTGCGAACATGCATCTTTGTAACCTTCAGTGTGTGTCACTATGCTGGTCATTGAAGTGGTGTCTGTGACATGCTGCTCACTGAACCAGGTATTTTGGACTCAGAGCTCCTCAACATAGAACGTGATACTTAATAGAAGTCTTTATACATGCAGTGTATATTCCGTTTGTTTGTCTCTTAGACCCTGGCGGCCTAAGTCCGACCATACGCATGCTGTATGGGCTGCCGGCTTTCTCATGTTTTTCCTTGGTTCCAGCGGGCCAGTCACTATACACGCATATAAACAGAAGAGTACAATATAGTGCAAGGTACCTACATTGAACGGCCTGCAAGCTGTCTTTGAAGGTGCGCGGCTCTCCAAATGTTGCATGCTGGCAAGCCTCAGTGAACTTATGATCCGAAAATCAGAATCAGCTGGACCATGGATCTGAGTCTGGTCGTGCTCAGTGGCGGTGCACCAGCTAGCATCATGTCACGCATCTTAACCATCCATGTATGCATATGATCATTACAATTGTTAACAACATGACACAACATGATTGGAAAGTGGCAAGCATGGGGAATTCAATTCAATCTCATTAGCTGATGACACCGGACCCTTCAAGGCACATATTGCAATCAAGTGGAAATGCACGCGTGCAGACTTGATATGGGCGACCCGTCATTGTATTGTAAGTTGGGGTCCGACTGGGTCAAACATGGAGTTTGTAATGACTGTCCAATCGGTCAGGTTGCCAAGACTACTGTATGTATGTACCCTGAACTAGCTTTCGCTCAGAAGTAGGATGATCCCTAAAGCTTGTCAGGGTCGAAGTATTGGCATCGTATAGTCGGGAAACAACATATATAAGAAGTAAGCTGTGATGCACCCCAGCAAAGCCCCAGCCAGAACCTGCAACAAAAAAGTGACTGCTCATCGAAAGTGTCCCGTATGCAATCGCTTGAGAACTCGCTTCAAACACAAGAATCATCCAGTGGCTGCTCACCAGGGGCTGAGCAGCCACCTTCCGAGGTCTTTAAGAAGTGAAGCGGCAAGCTTTCAGGCTGCTGAAAAACTTGGGCTAGAGCAGTTACAATCTCTCCGCAAGACAAGAGTACCTGTGGTGCTGAGCAGTTTTGGAAGCACATATCTGATTGTCAAGTGCGAAGCCGGAGTATTCAACATTCGATAGCAAAAATACACCGGTAAATGATTATCTTGGACCAACAATAAGGCTGTATTGCACGGACTCTCCCTCTGAGGGTCTTCTTAAAGATAGTTAGACTGTCGTATACACTCCGGTTTTAAGATCCGATGGCATAAGTCAGGCAACCAACGAATTCTGATTTGAGACGGGATTTGAAGCACGAACCTGAGGCGGCGTATGCCCGAGGACTTCCCGGAGCGGCCGCGAGTCGGCCAACGGGTGCTCGGGCGGTAGCTCATACACTATTTGGTTCAGGACCTGTACAAGAAACCGATCAGAGTCATACTGACTGCGAGTATCTTACCAGAGAGACTTGTCCGACTCGTGTCATTGAAAACCTGGTGTCTTGAAAGAGGTACGCAAGGCAAAAGCGAAAAAGCCAATCGGGATATTGGCTCCATCATGTGTCCATGCGCATGGGGCATGTCCAACGTCAAACAATATTTCCAGAATTCTTGGCCGTCTTAAGCCTATTAGAAGACCTTCAACTGATACGAAGAGACTCAAGGATGCATGGGTCTATACGCAAGCCGTTTGGGAAATGAAAGAGTGCCGATCTGAGCGACGAGCGAGATTAAGATGGAGTGGTTGCTTAAGACGATAGACGCAATCACTTCGAACTTGGTCAAATGTTCCACAACATGCATCTGACCTCTCGATGCAAGATTGCATTTCTGATTAAACGACTCACAATCTTGCATAGACGTATCACTTGGTGGTCGGTCCTTATCATAGACACTAAAAACTGCGAGCCTCACCTCCGCCTGCCTGCCCGCATGCAATCGGACACCAGATGCATCATACATAACCTGCAATCACAGTCGGTCATCAGAAGGGCTAACCCGCTTGGTTTCAACGATGTTCTGCCCGACTGTTGACTGATCGGGGGCCCAGCACAAACCGACTCTCAGGGATACTTCACTCTTCCCATTGGCTGACGCTAAGGATCAACTCCCTGTCTGGATTTCCCATCACCCAACCACTTTCCTCTGCTACATAATCTTCAAAACGGCAAGCTCATGTGGCAGCTAAGCCAGATGGGCATTGGAATTGAGTTCCTTCCAGAAACAATCGGTACTCAGACGCCACTCAAGGGACGGGATTGATTTTCTCCTTCAAAACACCTGTTTATACAGTCGTGATCAATCGAGCTCGTCCATAGAACACTGTTCAGGCATTGATCAGGCAAGTTCGGGGCGCGGACAGAAATAGGCACCCGACTGGCGAGAGCGATTGGTGTGAGGCTTGGTAAAACGTCCCAGAGCAGACCAACTGAAGACTTTGGATGCTTTACGCTTGAGCTACTCTTTAAAAGATCAGTTTCACCACCACAGGCATGGCACGCAGAGTAGCTTCACTCAATACCAAGATCTCTTAAGTGTTGTCAAAGGGGAGAAGGAAACCAGTGCTGAGAACCTCCGGTGAGCATTATTCAAGCAAAGTGACTCTGCGAGACTTTGTGAGTTCTTTTGGTTGAGGTGGAATCAATCAGAACCTTTCTACTGGTGCATCAATTGCCTAAGTGAGATGCGTGCGCTCATTTCTCAATCTCGTATTTTGAGATACAAGGACGCCAAGAGTAGCAACGCAACCATCTTAAGAAAGACTCTATACAAGGAGCACCGAGTCTGAGCGACTCACAACTCCAGCGAACACCATGCACATCGCAAAGAGGGGGCTGCCGGGCCCCTCCCGCAGCCCCACTGAAGTCGCCAGGCCCATGGCACATGATGAGTGCGAGGAGGGCATCCCTCCTGAGCTGACCATCCGCTTAAAGTCCCACCGCTTCTCTTTGTACCTGCGGGGGCAAGTGTCATCGTCAACCAAAGCCAAGCCTGCATATGTGATATTTAACTCATCAGTTCATCAACCAAGCTTTGCAAACAGCAGAGGCTTCGGTGGCTGCAGAAAGGAGACCTACTGCAATCATGGTCTCTCATTTGAGCGAGGCTTTATCAGACGGCGGCCACAGCTGCTTTATTTATGGAACCCTAGATTCTCAGCACAGCCTTGTGTAAGAGAATGGATTGGAAAGACTTCTTAGTCTGGATTCGACGTAGGCTCTGAGGTCCAACTTGGAACGCAGGGGCGTTGCAAGGGCTACTTCTTTATCCAATCTGCCAACAAGCGGGTTCAACTGCTGTCAAGCAGATAAAAATCTGGCAGAACGCGAAGCGATTTGTCAGATCCACGTCAAACCCTAATTTGAAAAGGCATCAGTCACTCACCAGGTCGTGAAGACTTTCAGGGACTGTGCTAGGAAAAAAGCAAGGAATGCAGCCATGAGGGCGCTGTTATTAACAATGCCGGAAATGCCATGGTGCGGCCCAGTCAGCAGGGAGAAATCATTGCTGGAATTGGCTACGTCCGCGGTTGTGGCCACTTCTTCCATTATCCTCATGCTTCTGCCCAACTCTCTGACTGTATCGGATGCTCAGTTGGATGTCCCAATCAGCCCAAGCATTCCCGCAACTCTCCGGAATCGGGTGCTCCTCCTCGCTTTACGGGGCTAACGCATTCTCATATTTCAAAAGCAAGCCGCGTTTTGCAGCGTCCGCAGAAACGTGGAATGCACGAAAGTAAGAAGGCAATGGGAAGGAGAGTCCTACTGGAGAAGAGAAGCAGCGCAAATGATGCAGTTGCCAAGTTGGAGGCGCCTGCACAACGCAGATCAAGTTGGCCGCCATGGCACGTGCGAGCCTCTAGGGCCAACGGGTTCCGCTGTTCTGGTCTTATTTCACTGACATCAGCAGAGTTCCGCCGGAACGCTTCTCAGCAGAGTTCCGCCTGACGCTGCAGCCGAAACCAGGATCGTATTTCGTATTTTACTGTACTTCAGAGGCGCCTTCGTTGGATAGGGTGGCGCAAGCCGAAGGACAAGGGGCCCATAGGCATAGACTTCACTGGCACAAAGAGAAGAGAGTTGGCACATGCTGCCTTCCACTTCCTTGTGTGGTGCTACAGGCGCTGGCGCCAAGGTTTCGGTTCAAGAAGCGCCCCACATTGCTCCGATGGTTGCTGTACTCTTTTCGGGAAAGCCAAGTGCACTTCGCCAGATGACCTCTTGACGCAAGCAGGTGAAGCAAACACTGGAAGAGCAAAATTGTTGTTGCGCTGCATGCAATTGGCAATGCAAGAGTGCTTTTCACTTTTCTGGCACGTTTTGGTCACCCGCAGATAACCTCCACACAAAGCACTTTCAATGATGCCTTTTCCGGTGGGAAACTAAAGTTGCTGTGCCTTTCTTGGTAATGGTGAACTTTCTGTTTCAAAAGCAATGTTTCTGTGCGGCAGCCGTCGCTCGCCGTTCATTGCTTTGCAAGCTGGCGTTGAAAGTACTAGGTTGTCACTGCATCCAGACTGCGTCACTCGCGCGCAACTTGTGCCTTCCATGGGAGCACGGAAACCCGAGTTCCAAGCAAACCAGAGGACCATGCAGAGCTGGCCTGTTCCTGACATTGTGTGCCCTCGCTTTCTTTGCAGCTGCGCTTCTGCTAGTCAATTAAAAGGGTGCTTAAGCAATGGCGAGCAGTCTTCAGCATAGCGCCACTTTTGGTTGCGTCCAACCTGGCGCCGCATATCGCCAGCTCGCCCAGCCAAATGTTACATCCCCCTGCTCTCAGACCTTCCCGTTGTCACTTCCACTTCTAAGCCGCAAAGCTACCCATTTCGCAAGCCCCCTCATCAGCAATCCGCAAACGCAGAGCCTGATTGCCTCTCACTCCCGCAGCTTCCGGTTGCACTCTAGTAGACGAGCACATGCCGATCACTTGCCAATTGAACGCAGCAGCTTTTTGGGTTCAGGAGCTTCAGAATCATCTGCTGATGTTTGGACAGATATAGGGAGGGGAAGCGGACGGTTGAGCGCAAGCGGGGGAAACGCTGATGCTGTGGAGCAGTCTGCTGCCGGGCCGTCCGGCAGGGCGAACAGTCGGTGGGACGAAGAAACGAGCGGTCGGGGGAGTAGCACGGCCACCTCTGGGGGGCCGCTTATCGCAGTCCTGAGTGTGATCGACGGAGCCGTCCGTTTCGTGATCGTGAAAGTTCTGCTCGTTTTGCACCGGGTGCTCTTACTAGGCGCGGGAATAATCTCTGTGCTTTGGCGGTTCTGGCCCATCCAGGCTGTCAAGAATAGGACGAGCGCTGCGGTCAAACCAATCGTATATGGAGACGGCGCCCCGACCTTCAAAACCCCCTGGTTCCTGAAACCCTTTGAACTTGTTGTCCGGATAGTCCTCTTCTTCGTGCCAAAGTTTGTGAAGCGGAGGGTGGGCCCTGTCCTGAGTAGTGTTCTCAACACGACGGTAGAGCGCACAGTGTCCCTTATTCGAAAGGGCGCGAAAGAGGGCCTCGGGGGGGTGCGGGAATGGGCGGACGAGACGTATGTGATGGCGCAGGATGGCGCACCGGAAGCACGGCGAGTGGGCGTACAGGTCCTGTACAGACTGCTGCAGTTCTTTGCCTTCACGATGTGAGTATATCTTTGTTGCGCAGCTTGGGTGATTTGACTTCCGCCAGGTGGTCAAACGGAATCGCTCAAGATAGTCGTACACGTCATCTCTCCGAATGTTTTTTTCGAACCCTGTGTAAAGGGTTGTGGTTAGCTCGCTTTGCGGTCAGTCAAAGCCTCACTTTGGCATGAAGTTCTTTGCCTGTTCGGACCAGCTTACAGATTGTCAGCTTGTATCCTTTTTGAGAGTCAATTGTGCAGCTTCCAGTCGGACATCGTGCAGGCAGTCACACCATTGTACTCTTCCAAGATTCTTGCTCGGCTCTTGCCGTCCTGTGCACCCGATTGTTGGCTGTGAGCGTGAAGCACGTTTTTGAGAGCCGTCCGTTGACTTCTTTTGGCAGCCCTGTCCGACTCTCTGCTCCTTCGGCCGAAGCTGAGTCGTCATTACCGCCGCAGGTCTACCCGAAAGCTCCGCTTGAAGCTTCCCAACCGCAATGATATCAGGGTTTTTTCGACTCTGGGCTGTCACAAGCCAGTCAACGAGATTGACAATGATTCTATTGATTGTCCTCACTTCTTCTTTCCTTTGCAGCCTCCTCCAATTCGTCGCTGGCCTGCGCCACTACAGCCTCTACGACCTCGCCTGGGTGCCCAAGGGCATCGTCACGCTCTGGCGCTGGATGTGGGCCGCCGTCGATTACGTCCTACTCGACATGGACTGGGTCCAGCCCCTGCAGCGCCTCATCGTCGATCACATCTGGCCCCTGTGGCGCGACTACTGGATCCTCGCGGCCGTGTGCACGGTCATCTGGGAGCGCCTGCACCCGACGCTGCAGACGGACTACGACATCTACGCGCCCCCGATTGAGGACGATGACTAGGCGGCGCTAGCGTGGGCGCTCGGTTGACTGTGGCACAGCTCAAGGTTATCTACGTTACAGCTCGCCCGTTAGTATGTCACTGATTAGGAAAGATGCGTCAGTACCTTTGGTTGTGCTGAAAGCCAGTTGCCACTCGCGTGTTGATTGGGGATCCTGGACAGAACACTGGGGTACCTCAGCCTTGCATGTGCTGAGCCCTTAGCGGTTGCGATTGGCAGCTTGATTGTCGAGCCAGGCCTTTGCCAGATCGAATCAAGCCTTCGGTGCAAGGGGCTTTAGAATCTTGCTGGCTGCGCTTTTGAAGCATCATCACTATATGCTCGTCAAGCGGACCTGACCAATTCTGGGATGTTCTACTCATTGCACAGTGGTAGGCGCAGTTTTTGGCCTGATGGTCTCTACAAAAACGTGCACTTCGCTTATAATTCACGGCTGGGTGTTTCGAAGCATCACAACATGCGGTTCAATGATTGTACACATGCACCATACTCGCACATGACACAACTTCCGATCATTGAACACCGTCATGCAGGACCACTGGACTGCGGCCGCTGCATTGTGCGCGGGACTCGAGGGCAGCTTGCATGATCCGACAGAGTCATCTACACTGCATGATCATGCAACATGTGTATAAGATCTTTCCGACTCGCGGCTGTCGATCCTGTATACTAACAGTAGGTCTAGTAACTTAAATCTTGCGACCGGCCCGCATGCGCACTGGTCCATGACATAGATGATGCATCATGTACCTACATATCATGATCCTCGATCAGTAGCAATTTTTTTCCAAGGCTGGGCCGCGCCATGCCGCAGCTGTCACATGCTTGAGCATGGCCATAGCCATTGAATGATCTGGCCAGATCAGTCACTTGCGTAATGTTGAATGCGCAGCGTACTTGGCCGTATGTGATTGATCGAGCCGGCAGGCCCCCAGTAAGCGCATGCTTCAAGAAGATTGCTCAAACCCATGCAGCATATAGCTGCAGGCCATTGCACTCAATATCAACTTAAGCTAACCCCGCATACTGTTTGGTTTAGAATCAAAAGAGTCGAACAGCCGTGGACTGCAATTGCATTCAACCGTCCCAGACATCAGTCAGTGACGGCCACAGTCCACTAACTTGAAGGTCGTGTGCCCTTAGTATCACGATTGCGGCCAACTCATAGAAGACACGTAGACTGCCGCTAAACACTCAAGTATGCTACAATGTCACCAAGGTGACGGAACGAGCATACATCCAGACGCTCAGTCTCATCATGCAAATCGGTGAAGAGACCCATCAGACGGGGCGACAGGCTCGAACTTGAAGCTGGCCATTAAAATTCAATCGTTTGGATACAACTGATAACAACTCAACGGCAACACTAGCTTCCAAAAATGGTGGAGCACCTCGGGCTCCAGTGAGTCGCCCTTTGAAAGAATGAGTCCCTACTTGTAGATCTTGAAGAGGCTTTTCAGGTTCCTAGGGCCCCGCTTCCGGGCTGGTGCCTTCGAGACTTCGTTCTCTGACATCGCCGGCGCGGTGTAAACTGGCTCGTTCGACCCTGGAGGGATCTCCGCTGGAAGCGCTTGTGCGGCGTTCGTGAAGACGTTCAGGGCCAGGAACGCAAGCACGGGTGACAGATCGATAGTGCCACCAATAGGAGGAATGATGCCCCGGAACAGGTTCAAGTATGGGTCGCAGATCGTGCTGCAAAGTAAATGAACGAGCTCATCAATAAGCCAGTTTTGGCAGGAGAAGAACAAGATGGACGGAAAAAAATAACGGCCAGCTAGAGGAGGAAACGTTTACCTGTTTGTCACACGTTCTGAAAAGCAACAATGAAGTGATGAATACTCCTCGTGCCATCGAAGGGCTGGCCTGTCCAACTGTCTTGGCCCATACTTGCCAGTATTCGATGCTATGACAAGCCACATATTTGGCAAAATGAATCTGGAGCGGCCAACAATTAGCGCCAGCATGTCCTTTGGGCAAAAGTAGTGCGCGATGGCCCAAATTCCTCACTTGCTGGAAAAAACTTGCTGGAATCGCAACAGTGCGATGCCACTTGATCCATCAGGTGTCCAGCTCTGACCACATCCATCAAACATCTGTTTCCTAGTAATTGAAATGAGGGGTGAGATTGCTCACCTCAGGGGGTTAGCAATAATTTGAGGAGGGTTTGGGAACCACGTCAGCACGAGGCGACCAATCAGGAGGGTGTTGTAAATGTTCAAAAAGTTGAGGATGCTGGTTGTTGCCACCATCTCAGCAACGCCGTCCCCTGGAAGGATCGCGGCGAATTGGCCTGACGCAAGGGGGTTGTAAACAGGCTCCATTGTCTCAACCTGCTAGGGAGAAAGACAATCCTGCTGAAGGCCTGTTCTGTATCACTAGGAAATGCTGAGGCATGCGGTTGCATGCACTGGTTTTGTGATTGTATCTGCAATGATATCACGTTGCTATATTTGTTGCTTGCGTGCACATCAGGTTTTGCAAACGGAGGACTGTTCATCACCAGTAGGGACGCATTAGGTGCACAATCTATACCATCGAGGCTCTTGACTGGGATGTCTTAGCACATATGATTCCTTAAAACTAGGACAAATCAGCATGGTAAACCGACCGCGTTCAATGCCGCAATTTTAGCAGTCCTGGCCGCTTGCCCTGCTTGCGACGTAGTAAAGAGAGTACGTAACTGGCACAACGCACTTTGCGAAGGGCGCCAAATTATGATTGGCGCCCGCCACTTTGAAAAGCGGCGCCAAGACTAGGAACAAGCCTATGTTGAACCTGAAGCTGCTTAGAGTGTGGTATAGATTGCTGCAACTCCGCCAAAGATGTGAAGGTGGACGTGAATCTGCGATGTTCGCTAAAGAGAAGGTCATTTCATCCAAGAAAAATAAAGAAGAAGGTGGCTTCACCTTCTGCATGCATACTCGCCTTAGCGGAGCTCCAGCAGTGCCTACAATTTCACTTAGCGGCTTCTCATTCCAATGGAGGCGGCTACAGCAACTCCACAAGCCATCATAGCATCCTTCCGACTCACTTCAGAAAGAATAAACAAACTGCAGTTCCCTCACCTTGAAAGCTTCATCTTCATACCACTCCGGCACCGTCTCCTCCTCGATCACACCTTCTTTCTCAATCAAACCTAGGTCTACGAACACCTCCTTTGCGGCATTCTGCACATTCTGCAGCGTTTCAGCCGCGGTCTGCTGCAATCCATGTAGTTGCTGTTCCACACCCAGTCTGAACGCATCTAACCTCGCCGCAAACCCGCCCCTCCGCTTCCTCTCGGGCAATGCAGGCATGTGCGAAACTGGCCGCCCATTGAGAATGCTAAAGCTGTGCCTTGGCACATACGCTTGTGTCCGGAACGTTCGAGGCGATGGCAGGGTGGTCACGAATGCGAGCGCGGCGCTGACATCCAGGGAGGTGGGGTCCGTTGCTGCAGCACGCGACAGGTCGTCATCAGTCCTCAGCGGGGCCATGGCTGCCAACAGAAACTCCCTCAGCGCGCTGTTCTTCTGCTTCTTGCACGAATCTGCCACTGCCATGCTGCGCGGCAACTTCAACTTCAAGTTCAAGTGTTCAGGCAAGCAGGCATGACGTATTTTACTGCACGTAAAAGAGTGCTGAAAATCAGGGATTTATAGAAGTGAATACGTCAAGGCAAAGATACGATATAAGGCAGCAATCGAGACTCACAGCAGCAGTCACGGCGCGAATTTCATAGCGGACGAGGGTTTCAACTTTCGATACAAAAGGATGTTCGAGGGTCCGCAAATGCTGATTTTCTTCGATGAACAAATTTGCAGGACCAGTCCTCGCATATGTCAGCAGGGTCGTGACGTCACCTTGATGGGGCTCCCCCAATGCACAGAACTCGCCAGAACTTGGAATACGAAAGGGAGGGATGGAACGGGGGCGATGCATCATTGCATGGCTGGCTAGACAGGTTGGGCTCGTTGGCGTTTGCCTCTTGTGCATCTTAAAGTTGTAGGTGCCTTGGTGATCTGCTCAAAACCTCATAAGATCTCTTACTTGATAGTGTCACGATCGGGGGTTTCCGTGCTTTTTTTTGGGTCCCGCTGATCAAAGAGCATCATTGGACTTGTACTGTCCAGCTCGTCATGCCTGCCCAGCATTCTCAGAGGCATAAGCAATCTTCTTGACTTTCTCATAAGTGGTGGACACCGCGTGCTTATGGGAGTCCCCCAAGACCGTTCTGGCCAGGGGATCAGGCGTCCAGCAGAGGGGGCCTCCCCCACTGAGATCGAGATGTCTGACAACACTCGCTTGCTAGACAATGCTGTGCGACCACCGGCTGGGGGACAGCAAAATGGGGGCTCGTCGCCCCCTGGAAGAGGGAGAGGGGGTCCTGGGAAGATCAGGGCAGGGTACGAGAAAGTATCAGCGGCTGACTCAGCAGAGCCGGAGGGTTTGGACGAACCAGAGGGGTTTGGTTTGCCAGAGCCGGCGTCAGGGAGGCGGCAGCTCAAAGCCATGCTCTGGAGGCAGTACCTCTTCAAGGCAAGGCTTCTAACCTCCTCATCAACCAGGTCCAACTGCTCTTACGACTTTGAGGCACGGCATCATATTCATGTTTTGCATCAGTTTCTGATATCCAAGATTGATGAAGAGTTGTCAAATATGGACTCTCATGAAGGCGCTCATGTTTGTGTTGAACATGAAGGGCTGGGGAGATTCTGCCCAAGATCTCTGACAAGTGATTCACTGAAGGGGAGTTGCCCCAGCGCTCCTCAATTGCGTCAGTCAACCTGCCACTAACCACCACACATACCCCATATTGTGGAACTAAGTTGAACAGCCTGCCCTCCCCGTCTTTTGCCACCCCTCTCCAAATGATCTGCCACTTAGAACCAGCCACCACTTAGTCAAAGCAATCTTCCAATCAAAGCAAGTACACCATTCATTCTCAAGCTGAGATGAACTCACCTTGATTGCCCCCCCATCTCTGAACCTGCCACCTTTGCAGAGGCAGGGGTGGCTAAGAACGCTGCTGAACTCGGGACTTAAGCAGCTTTCAAGATACCATGGACACCTTTCAGTCACTACTACTGAAGATCCTGCTAATCAATTGTCTGAAGTGTAATCATTGCTGAAGCGTGAAGTGTAAGCATGGCTGAAGCGGAAGCAGGATTTGCTGGCTTTGCTAAGCCCCTTTATTACTAACCTCAACCTTGAAACATCCTGCCATGAATTTTTGACAAACCAATCGCCCCCTCTAACCACCCTCAGCTAACCCGAAAATCTTGCTTTGCAGAAGCGGGGGTGGCTCCAAACCCTGCTCGAGTTACTGACCCCCGTGATCACCATGTTTGCTCTGGTGTATGCGTACAACCAGACTGTGGTGGAGTACCGCCCGCCCGAGATCTTCGCCAACCAGACCATTCACATTCTGGATAGGTTCCTGGACGGTTCGCTGGTGGCGCGCGACATGAGGGATCATTGCGCTCCGTTTGCGGGCCTGGCTGGGGTGAGTTGGTGATTTGTGTATTTGAAGGCTAGAGCGAGTAGGCTGTTTACTTGATACCTGATACTGACCGTGTCACTCTTGTAATGGGAGTTCTGTTCGGAGTCTGATTTTTATCTATGGGTAAATGTCGGAAGATTGTGTGGGTATCTTGACCCATGTTGAGAAGTGCAGTTGTCTCTTGGAGTTCAGGGGTCCTCCCTGTCTTTTCCACCCTTGCCCCGCTGTCATCTTCTCTGGAGATTCTTCGATCAAGCGCTATGGTTGCTTGTTGGAGGGGTTATCAGTAGTTGGAGGGATCCATTTGGTGAGGATAGATGGATGAATTGGTGAAGAGGCAGGAGCGTGAATTGTTGCACATCTTCTGGGCACGTTTTCGAAATGGCATACCCCAGTGAAACCGGCGTGGTCACACCAAGCGTGGACCCTTGCTCGAGTCGCAGGCTGCCCCAGCTCCTTCAAAGCCACCGGACTCATTGATGCCGGATTGTTTCCTCCGCAGTTGCAAGGCCTATCCCCTGGCGACTTTACCGAAGCCTTACACTCCTTCGAGCAGCAAGCTGCGCTCCTCGCCTCTGGCCAGCCTTTCTCCCCTCATTCAGCAAACGAGACGCTCGGAGCGTCCCTCGGCATTCCCACCCCCCCTCTCTTCTCAAACCTCATCGACTGCATCGACGTCATGCGCCTGCTCAACCAGTTACGGCGCACCTACTGGTGGTATAACGGCCCGATAAAGGTGCCTGGTTTCGACGGTTTTGTGCTAACCCACGAGGTGTTAAAGGGGGCGGTTCAGGGGCAGGGGGGGTACGAGAGGTTAGTGGAGGCGCAGAGTAAATACGGGAACCAGTTTGGGAACCTGCTCCAGCTGGGGGGGCTCGCGTTCGCTCCCGAGAGCGATGACGTGGCACGGCTGGTGGAGCACATGAATTCGACATACCGAGTGAGAGTTGATCGAAGCTTCTGCTTTCTCGTCCTCCTCCCTCGGGTTCTCGGGTGTGGTTCTCTTTTGCCAGTGCCAATGTTCTCAGGGGCATGGCTGCCTCTTTGTATGCTCATTCAAGGCGGGCGGATGCCTGCCGTTTGTGCGCTTGAGTTAGTTTCTCATCCAGTGCAATCTGGGATCTTTAAACGGCTGCGGTGCTAGCTGAGAACTTCTCACATACAATATCCATCTGTTTGTCGCCTTTCTTTCACTTTCATTTTAGACAACCTCTTAAGATTACCCATATTAGGAATGCTATCAAATACAATGAACGAGATCTGACCTGGAGTAACCAACTTCAGTCCAGCAGACTGCGCGAACATTGAAATGTCTCAAGTCGATGTTGAACTTCCAGGTCAACCATGTCCATTATTCATTATTATTATATTATTTTTATTCATTATTCTTTGTGCGACCGGAGCACTATCCACACTTCGTCTCGCACTTGATTGATCTTCAGGTCTCCAGTTACTATCCTCTTAATTTACCGTCCCTATCAACTAGTGTCTCTTCTTTCTTTGACCGACCGACCGACTATTTTCCCACCTTGGCAGTTCTTCGACTCCGTTTACTCTGGCACCTACCCATCCGAGGCCGCGGCCGTGGACGCGGCTCTCGGTGCAGCCGGCGTTCTTAAAGAGCAGGAAATGTGGGCGATCGTAGTGGTCAACAAGATGGACTTTGAGGCAGGGGACGTCGACTACATGATCCGCATGAACTACACGACCGGTAGGGGTCACAGCAGTCTCGCATTCGCTTGGGGTCTGTTTCACAACGCTAAATCTGAGTTTAACTCGACGAGTTAACGCATTTTTTGTTCGTTTTTGAGACTAACGTACTCAGCGTCGTTGGGAATTTTTTTGTTTCTGAGCGCGGACTTGCGTGTGTATCCAGGGTTGTGATAGGGTATAAGCGATGCTACTCCTCTGCATGCCGGTCCTTACTTTTAGGCCTCGCTCCTTCCTCGTACTTTGTTAGGGTGCTTCTTTATCGAAACGACCTTTCGAACTGAACGGTCATAAGGTCAAATAGAGGACTTGGATGCTATCATCACAGGTCCTCGATCGGCTTTTCGGATGCTACATGCAGCTTCTGACTCAGAAGAGATCTTGAAGAGATCTTTTCACTTCGTTACGATCCGCGGCTCGTCAGCGGCTCGTCAGCGACGCTGACGTGCAAACCCCCGTGTTGCAGTGCCCAAGTCCAACCGGGTACGTCACAAATGGTCCCACGGCATCCATGGAGGATACAAGCACTACTACACGAGCGGGTTCCTCAGCATCCAGGTAAAGCGCTCCGTCCTTTACCACAACGCTTTTCAATCCAGTGCTCAAACCTCTTCACAAACCGGGTTTCGCTTCTTTCAATGATTAAGTTCGTTGATAATATGGTTTGGTTCCATCCGAAGAGTTTCCTCCTTGGTATACAACGGAAATAGCTTCCATGAAATGTCATTATTCGTTTTGCTTGATTGGTTATATAGGTTAAGAAGATCGAATCTTGAGAAATCAAGTTTTTTTGCATCCAGTTGGCAAAAAAGCGAACTTTTTTAAAATTTTTGCTCTTCTTGAATTTTGTTTTTTCCATACTTGTTCTTTGAATCGAATTGTTTATGAACTTCGAGGCACCAAGCTCTATGTCAGTCCTTATCTTCGATGTCTCGGCAAGACAAACCCTTTGAAAGCATATCAAGTATTGCCCAATCTGATCCACGCACCGTGTCAAGTCTACTTTCCGGATACCTGCAATTTGTACTAAGACTTCTCGTTTCTTCGCAGAAAGCGGTGGACGATTACATTTTCGCGAGCCTGCCTCCTCGGGCCCACGCCGCGCCACCTCCCGAGTATCTGCCCGCAGACGTGTGGGGGCTGCCGTTTCCGGTAGACGGGTATTTGTACAACGATTTTTACGATGCGGTCGGGCCGCTTATGGGGCTGCTCATGTGCTTATGCACGCTGTACCCTTTGGGTATGATGGTCAAGGTGAGGTCTCCTTGCGAACCCTTTCCCAAGTGCTTGGATAAGTTCAAGAGGCGGGAGAACCGCTCAGTGCAAGTTTGCATGATGAGTAAAGCGGGTGTGCCAGATGACAGTTGTGACATCCGCTCAGGCTAGATACGTCGTGCTTGCGGATTCAAAAAAAAAATTCAAACGAGGTTTGCTTTGGTTTGAAGCCACCGTGTTCTCCTCATTCTTAAGAAGCTAACGGATCCAGTCTAGACAGGTTCAGCCTAGAAAATCCAAAGTGGGGAAGCAGTAGAAGGTCTTTTTGGACCAAAAGGAGAGCCGCAATAACACGAGGTCGCACGGTTGCCAAATCTCGTCTAGCGAATGAAAGTCAACGGCCTGAAAGGTTGGAACCTGAAAATATTCAGTCGCTGCAATTGGAAACCCTGAAACGTAAGAATCCGCCAACCCTCAAGTCTGAAGATTATGAAAACGAAAACCTAAGACTTTGTGGATCTGCGCAGGGCATCGTGGAGGAGAAGGAGAGCCGCGCTAAGGAGACGATGCGTATCATGGGCCTGCGCCTGTGGGTGTTCCACGCGTCCTGGTTCCTGACGTACCTCGCCGTCTTCTTCGCCGTCTCCGTTCTAGTTACCGCCATCATCTCGTCCACGTTCCTCAGCCGATCGGACCCGCTGCTAATCTTCGCGCTGCTCTTCCTCTTCACGCTCTCGCTCATCCCGTTTGGTGAGTATTTTGCTGAGTCACCTACCCCTGTTCGTGCTACTCTGTATGAAAACGAGTCTGCTGCCTTTTTCCTATCTCTCTTTCCATCTTCGCTCTTGGCTCTTTCATCTGCGCGCTGCCCTTCCTCTTCACGCTCTCGCTCATCCCCTTCCGTGAGATTCCTGCCGAGTCGCCTCATTTTTCTCTTGATTGTTTCTCTTTATACAAAGTCTGGTTGCCTCGCCCTTCGATTGTCCTCGCTCTTCCTCTTCACGCTCTGCTCTTGCTCGGTAAGGGATTCTGTTTGATTCAACCACAATCTGGTCAAAGCGTGTGATATTGCAGAACGTCGTTGAACCTGCAAGTGTTCTCGATTTCAAAACGTGTCTTTCCATCACATACGTTTGTCCACTTTTATAACGTGCTGAAGCATCAGGTGATCCGTTTTTGTCTGTCTAGTTTCTCTTGGTGCATTGAGCGCTTTGCGCTTCCTCGCCATGTTTTTTGGTCTTGCTCTTCGTATCTAATTGCCCTTGAATATTTCTGACTTCACTGTTTTCCCCTTGTGCACGACCATCCTACTCTGCTACTACCAGCAACGTTCACTTCCAACATCGAGGGACTTGTCATGCATTGAAACCAAAAGCTTTCTGAGTCCCTAAGACGTCCTTCCATAAGTGAAGGTCAAGAGGAAGCTGGGTACGGGGTTGTCAATCAAGCATCTTACGGACACTCAACAACTTTTTGCTCGTTTCCGCAGGTTTCTTCATCGCCGTCTTCTTCTCCAAGTCCAAGCTCGCCGCCATCGTGGCCCCTTTCGCCCACTTCGCGGCCATCATGCCTCGTTACATCTTCTTCCGGACTAACGAAGACCAGGCGATCTACGCCAAGTGTCTGGCTGGTTTTCTACCTTCCACCGCTTTCACGTTTGGTAAGCTGCGCTCCCACTAAGCAAAGTAAGCTTTCGAAGTCGAAGAAGTTGGTATTGAAGAAATTAAGCAGCGCAGTCTGAATGTTCTCCCAAACGGAGCAAGATTGGCAGTCAGAGCAGGGTTGTACTTCGTCTGCCGTTTTGAGAAGTACAGGGCTGTTGTCGAAGTGTCTCCCGCTTTGTAGCGAGCTTTCTGCTGATTGCTCGACGCTCCGAATCTTAAAGCTACGGTCGGTTCGATCAGATTTCTTGAGGAACTGAACTTTAGCGTTGCCCTTTCCGGGTTCCATGATTCGCAATTGGCTGGGATGGTACCAGTTCTGATTGTGAATGCACGATGTATCGTGCTCCTCTCAAAGTTTCGATTTGCTGGCGAAGTACGCAGGCGCCTTCATGGGCTTGCGGGGGACTTTACCGAAAAGTGTCTTGGCTAATTCTGTACATAAGATTCTATTCCACATTCGCCTGTGCTTGCCGCAGGTATCGACTTTTTGGCGACATACGAGGGCGCTTTCATGGGCTTGCGGGAGAATCTAACAAAAGTAGAGTTTGGCATTAAAGGGATTAGAGAATCTGTATTTAAGAACTTATTCCAGTTCACTTCTGGTGCAGGTATTGATTTGCTGGCGACCTACGAGGGCGCTTTCATGGGCTTGCGGTGGGACGAGGTCGCCGACGACGACTTCGCGATGTCGACCATCCTTTTGCTGCTTCTCGGCGACTTCTTCTTTTACTCTTTCCTGGCATGGTAAGAGCGGGCTGTATTACTTTTGGAGGCACGCCTGAGCGCTGGACGTGAAACTAAGTACTAGCCTGGCTTGCAAGCACTGTGTTTGATCCTCGTCAGTTTCGAGACGGGAATTCTTCCCGATTTCATCGTACCTCACACTTGACTCTGACAGGTTTGTAGCAACGTTTCCCGCCACTTCGCCTCCGTCAAATTGCGGTCAAACAGGTCTAAGATTTTTCATCGCGGTCATAAGAGTGCGAAGTCTGCAAGGCTCAGGGTTGCGAGTAGGAAGCATTGCACGACCACGACTTGGGGCTTGGCTGCGAAGCTTGGTTGAGCTATCTCAAGGTGGTAATGAATATATTATGCTAGTTTGAGTTGTTATCCGTCTTCTTCCAGGTACCTGGAGCAAGTCTTACCGTCTGAATACGGCACCCGCCTTCCGTTCTGGTTCCCGTTCACGAAACGCTTTTGGCTGGGGGAGTCATTCTACGACTCGCACATACCCCCTGAAATGGAGGAAGAAGAAGGGGCGCCCTCGATCGAACGCGTCGAGAAGGGCACGCGCAAGGTGGCGGTGCAGACCAAGGGGTTAAGAAAGGTTTACCCGGGAGGAAGGACGGCCGTCGATGGGCTGGATCTGACGGTCTACGATGGGCAGGTGAGCTTGTGGTTCCTCCTGGTCTGAAACAACACTGTTTCTGTTGGGGCGGCCGTTTGGACCCAGAGTTTCGTTGTGAATGAAGTAGCGAGACAGGTTTCGCATTGACCCACCAAACAGTTCCGTTTTTTGGTTTTCCCGAAATATGAAGTTGAATTCAGCATAATAATCCTGCTTCTGTCACGGTCCTGCTAGGGCCGTTAGTTCCTAGGGCCGTTAATCCGAACAGGTGAAAGCAACTTTGTGGTACAGCGCCGCGCCGCGTAAATTTGCTCTCGGGTTCGGTCTTAGCGACGGCGGTTCAGTAAAGCATGAAGCCTTATCACAGGTTTGCCGGACCATAACAGCACCTATCTTTATCTCGGACCGGTCTACGGACATAGATCATCCAATCCTGCACACTTCCACCGTTTTCCAGATCCGCTTTGCCGGACCACAACCGCGCCGACACTTAACTTTTATTTTGGTATGCATAGATTGGTGAATCTTGCACACTTCCACCCGTTTTTGCAGATTACTGCACTGCTGGGTCACAACGGCGCGGGGAAGTCGACGACCATCTCTATGCTGACGGGGCTTATTCGGCCGACCGGTGGCGATGCGCACATCTGGGGCCGCAGCATTCGGACGCGTATGGACGCCGTAAGACGGGTGATCGGCGTGTGTCCGCAGCACAACGTGCTGTTTAACAAGCTCACGGTGAGGGGCGCGATTTCAGACTTTGGATATCTGGATTTTGCGGTTTCTGTGATCTGCTGATCTGGATTGTGTGTTCGGAACTCGGCTGCTCTGGTCTGCGGTTCTCGCTTTGGAATGCGTATGGCTGTCTGTGTTCGGGGAATGTTCAGGGTTGCTTTCCGTCTGAAGGTGAGAATTGTGCACTGATGCGAACATAGTCTTAGTGAAGTATAAATCTATACGGGTCGCGATCATAAGCGGTTGGCACACCGGGTTACGCGTAGGGGTTTTTCTCTGGATTACCCGAAAGATTGCAGATAGGGAGGAGATTCTTGCTTATGTCGGGGCAAAGGAAGTCGCAGATTTGGACCTGGTCTGCCATGTGTTGATTTTGCTGAGGGACCTTGAAAATGGCTGACAAAGAACTTGATTATATGCCGTGGATTTTGAGCTTGGGTCCATCTGGGAGGCCCTGTTTCAGTCTCAAATGTATCGGCCGGTTCAAAACGCAAATTTGTAGCCGTCGGAAGAGACTAGCGAAGTCAAATTAGCTGGTGGAGACGACGTCAGGGGCGTGATTGTAGGAACAAGAAGAAGCTCTTAGACCTCTACCCTCTACCTGCAGGTGCGTGAACATTTAGAGCTTTTCTCGGCTCTCAAGGGCGTTCCCCCGCCGGATATTTCGGAAGGCGTCTCTTCCGTGGTCGAGCAACTAGAGCTGGCGGACAAGATTGACGCGCCGGCGGGGTCCCTCTCCGGGGGAATGAAGCGCAAGCTACAAGTGGCCATTGCGCTGATTGGGGGGTCCAAAGTTGTCTTTTTGGACGAGCCGACGTCAGGTACGCGGATCGGGTGGAGGCCGCAGAAGCAGCATTCTCTTGGAAAAGGCTCGGACAGGCGGACTTCAGAATCACGAACTAGCTGCAGACAACCAAGCATCGCAGCCCTGCCGTTGAGATTTTGACTCCGGAAGATGAATGCTCCAGATTTTGTGTTTGCATTTGGTTAGGCACTGTATGTCTGTACCCCAGTATATCGGAACCGTTACCTGCCAAAGTTGTGAGACCCCCTGGCTGAACCTTGCAGACTAGAGTCCTCATGTTGACTTCGAACAGTAGCGCTGCGATTTCGACCATCGTGAAGTTCTTTGGTCCGGCTGCGGAAACTCGACACACAGAAAGCTTTGCTTGAGAGCCACTGACCCGCTTTCGAGCCGCATAATTGATGTTTTGGAAAAGCTTGCACACTGAACAGAAGTGTGTCTCTAAGACTCAACGACCCGCTTTTAACTGCAGGTATGGACCCTCACAGTCGGCGGGCCATGTGGGAGCTGTTGCGGAAGTTCAAAGATGACCGGGCCATCGTACTGACCACGGTAAGGGTCACCTCGGTGTTCACTTGCGACGAAGACGCTTTTGTTTTGGAGGCAGAGACCACGTGGACCTAGACCCGCACGAGAATGGGCAAGCAGTTGCGTTAGGACTTCGGCTTTGTGAATCCTCTCGGACCGCTTGACCACGTTATATAACTTGCGCAAGTCAAAAGCAGACACACAGTATCTGGAAATCTGAGATCCTGAACCCACTTCAAACCCGTTCTCTCCAGCACTACATGGACGAAGCGGGCGAGTTCTGCGACCGCATCGCGATCCTCTTGGATTGTCAACGGCCTAAAAGCGACATAATACTTGCATATGTCAAAAGCAGATAACACAATATCTGGAATCTCAAATCTTACCCCCAGTTCACACAGTATTTGGAAGCTCGAATCTGACCCCAGTGCTAATTCGTTCTCTCCAGCACTACATGGACGAAGCGGACGTCCTGTGCGACCGCATCGCAATTTTGTCGGACGGCCGCCTCCGTTGCTGCGGCAGTTCGCTTTTCCTCAAGGCGCGTTACGGGGTGGGTTACAACCTAACCATGACAAAAGCCGGGCCCGACTGCGACGAGTTAGCGGTAACCCGCCTCGTCACCCGGCACGTGCCCCAGGCGGTTCCGCTGAGCTCAGCCGGAGGCGAAATGGCGTTCCAATTGCCGCTTGCGTACAAGAGTGGGTTTGCGGCGCTGTTCAAGGAGTTGGAGGAAAAGAGGGAGGGGCTGCACGTGGGTGGGTATGGCGTATCGATGACGACACTCGAGGGTAAGCGTCTACTTGCCGTTTTGGTTGTGAAGCACAATCGTGGCATTCCATGTAATGCTCTGGATTGTGCCCAGATAATTGCTTGCTGATTTCCCTTCGAGCCGTGTTTGGCGAGCTCAGTGTGAATGTAAGGGCTCCTTGACCTTCAGTTTTGCTGGAGGACACTTTTAATGAGATTGGTCGATGAATCCGTTGCTTTGAAGTTCCTTGTTTCCAGTTTGTTTATGAAGAAACTTACACGAACGCCTTAAGAATCCTGTCAGTGGGCTCCGTGATGAAGCCTTTTCGGAAGCTTCGGTTTACACTATCACTTCTGCGCCCATTCGTTGCGCCTCCGCTGATGTTTGGCAAAGCCGATGAGGACGATGACGACATCATTCTCGCCGTCGACTGTGCAACGTGGATCTTTTTCGCGCTTATGTTGGACGCTGCCAGCTTGTTGGCGGTGAGGAAACGTCAAAAACGGCAGTTCTCCTGCCAGGAGCTCTTCGCGTATGTCGAGGCCACATATTCTTTAGCTGATTCTTCCTTCTCCTCATACCACCAGTATCAAAAATCTCATTTCGTATCTGCTTCCAAGAAGGAAAAGGATTACTTGGTTGACCGTAGTGTTGTGTAAGAAGAAGACATTGCATTAGCCCCAGATGCGAGGGGCGATGCAGACGAGGAGTTGAGCCTCAAGCGGATTCTTCCGTACTTTGGTCCTGTCTGCATCCGATACACCGAGATTCATACACCCTTATTCCTGTTGTTGCCCTCCGCCCATTTGTGCTTCCATTGCCCCAATCCGGACATGTTTCTGTCCAACCTCGTTTCGCTGGTTGGGTAACACACGCGCACAATATTTTGTCGCTCATCTTCTGCTGATTATTTATCTCGTAACCTACCTTCGCCCTGGCGCTTTCCTTGGCGATCTTCAATCCAAGACGAGCAGGCAATGTGGTTGTGCTTGACTTGCTTCCATTGGCATACCTGCGTGGCCATGACGCAACTGCTGCCTGAGGGTTGCAAAACACTCTCATGAATTGGTAGAACCTCATCGATCTGCATGCCACTGCCTAACGTTGTCTTTCTCTTGTCTCAACCCACAGCGCCAAGTTTGTTAGTCGCTCACTCGACTCTTCCTTCTAACGCGCCTGAATTGTGTCCGAAGACCCACAAGCTGGATGAAAGGATGAATGCCCGATTTGACGGGCGTTGACTTGTCGGTAAACTAGTCGTGTCGTTGACTTGTTGGTATACTATCCATGATTGAACGCCTATCTGGCAATGATGCGACGGACGATTGAGATCTGCAAAACAACCTCAACCGACAACCGTGCCTATCAGCTGACGCCAGATCCTTGTGCACCTTTCTGCAATGCTTCTCTGCTGAGTTTGTAATTTTGACTGCCTCGTATTCTTTGGAGCACATCCGTGAGTACAGGAAAATTGAGTTGCAACAACGGCCAACGGCTCCAAGACAGGCCGAGCGCAGAAGCTGGCATGCTAAGGTGTAAGAAAGTCGAATGAACCGGGTTGACGTTTACAAGGCTGCTACGCAACCCCGAACTTCTTTTGAACCAGTCGTCGTGGCATTCAATTGCCTAACTTGGGTTTTCTGCATGCCTGAAACTGTCTGTTGGGTCAATCGAGCGCTATATGACCGCCCGGTCGCCATGTGCGGTCTTCTGTCTTGTGATACACACTTGAAATCAAGGAAGCTACAGTCTGGTCCTCCTCTGTCCTTGCTTCTCCTATTCGCTGTAAGCCTTCTGCTAGGATGGGTCTTCTCGGGACGATCTTCAATTGCTATGCCATTCTCAAATATGAAATGTGGAACTGCGCAGCTATAGAAAGTGTGGAGACAGAGCGATACATCTGGAATCGTCGCCAAAGATTATGAGAGCGTCTCACGTTGTATTTAAAGTCGTGAAAAATTGTCAGAACCCGCCCAAGCATCCCTTGCTTGTGCAAACGACTTAGGACGAACGTTTGGACCCACTGCTGGTACGCCTTTCGTTAGGAGTGACTCATTTCTCGATTGTTTGGCAAGGATGAGTCGCAAACGACGGCAGTGCTTCTGTCATTGTAGGGACGTAGGTGAATACGTGCCGAGTACTCTCCCGCTGCTTTTTCCCTTCACATCGTGTAGTCGGCGTCTATTACCCCAAGATACAATGATGCGACGACGCAAGCGCTGATGGCGATGCGTTCGACCTTCTTTTTATGGTGCTACGTTGCCATTCTTGTTACTAGAACCGCTTTGTTGTCGACTCTTTCGTATGTAGTATGTGTGCTTCTTTGAGTACTTGAAGCTTAACTTGCATCCAGCTTCAGTGTGCGGGTGTTCAAAGTCCTTGCTTGACTACACTGTTTAGTCTCCGCATTGCTTTGTTTGAGACACCCATTGACTGTCACAAATGACGCAGTACTTGATGTACATTCTCGATGGAGCCCTTTTTGATCGGTGACATTCATATGAATGGATATGCTCTGCGAAGTTTTGCAGCAAAATGTTTAATAAGAGCGTCGCTTCAAGAGCCTTTGCTGGATGCAAGGGTTTTGGGCTGATTTGAATGTCGTCATGGCGCATTGATCTTGGTTCTGGCTAAAGGCTTTTTAAGTCTAGGCTCCGCTGGCTATGATGCTCCCTTACAGATGAGAGCTGCGTCCTCTCATGTTGTCATCGGTGATGATGCCAGCTCATCCCACTCTTTCTTCGCTAGTGAAGGGTAGCACCTAGAAGCAACTAAATCTGCTAGCGTCTGGGAATCATCTTTCCTCTAATTTGATCTTAAGCTGGCTACTTTTCTTGCAGAGGTGTTTCTGCGCCTGGCGCAAGAGGGGGACGCCCCGCACGCCCCGTCACTTCCGGCGGTCGAACCGGTCACTTCCGAAGCCCCCTCCAACTCCGTAGCCTCCAGCGATGAAGAGCAAAGAGCGAATGGACAGACTGTAAACGGTCTGGGGGGGTCGTCCGAAGGGGATGCGGACCCGAGGTCCAGCGGAGAGCCGTCCGGAAACGGTCTCGACCGTCGATCGTCTCTGCTCAAAAAGCACCTCGCGCGGTCGATCAGCCGCTCCCAGTCGGAGCTCGCGGTGAACGGCCACCCGGCACAAAACGGCGACCACGCAGCAGGGGAGCCCGCAGCACCGGTCGCCCAGAAAAGCGGTCGGGTGACGAAAGGCCGAGATGCGAACGGTCGGGATGCGGCTGGTGACCTGGAGCACGGCGAGAAGGAGAGCGCGTCTGGACCGTTAGATGAGAGCGGTTCCGGACGGTCCGAGGAGCGCAGCTTCGGGCGTGCGTTCAAGGAGCTGTTTCGGAAGCGGGCGATCATTGCACGGCGGGATCTGAAGGGGATGGCGAACTCGATCCTGCTGCCCGTGGTGGTGATTGCTTTCGTGCTGCTCATTCTCAAGCTCAACATCGACCCCGCCGTAAGTTTGTTAGACATTCAAAACTCTTTTATTCGTGGGTGCTTTCCAAAGACCCTCATTGAAGAAAATGCGCATTATCGTTGAGGACTGGTTTGACGAGATTTATCAGTGAGAATGGGTAAGGTCGGAATTCATGAGGAACGCTTCGGGGAGCAAACTTTGGTCCTGATTGCAGGTCTGCTAGTGGCTGGAGCTCTGGGAAGTGCTGTTTAGAGGTCAATGTCATGGGTGATTGTAAATCCCACACTTTGCAGTCTTGCTTTTTATTCATTATATTACTGCGCGTCTTAGGTGTTGAAGTGACGGAACTTTTGTTTGTAACATGCGTCTCTTGAAGTCTCGTTCTTCGGCAAGCCCTTCTTCGCAATGACAGCCCATTTCTCGTTGATCAGACGTGTAAGGCAACTTACGCTGCTTTGTCTTTCCAGGGCCCTTCCATGAAGCTGGACTTCAACATGTACTCCACTCTGATCAAGCACGGCGAAAAGCAGACGTCCATTCCGGTCACGGGCGCCGATCCCGCGACTTTGATCGACGTCGGGGGGCCATACCTGGAGCTACAGGATGACCGGGGAATACGAGACAGCATACAGTTGAGCAGGGAATTGCTGCAGACGATGGACAGTTATCCAGAACCACGATACGGTGAGAAAATAGGGATCGCTTACGGCCAATTCTGCGTCGGCCTATGATGACTTGCTTCCGTTGTGTGCGCCAATATGCGTGTTGTCTCGTGGTAGATTGTTGGAACTATCCGCATCTTGTCCGGTTGTAAAGAGTTTTTGTAGGCTCATGTTGAAGCACGCTAAACGCTGAACACTCATCGAGTAACTAGTTTGAAGTGCAGACCGTCGCAGTTGCACGGTAAAGACTTCAGATGCTCTTCGTTTTCTACACCAATCCCCGCTGTAGGTTCAATAGGTCATTGCTGATCTCGAATATGCTACTCGAGGTGTCGGAATCGCGTTTTTGTGAACATCCTCTACTGGTCATTTGCAGGGGCACTCGTATTCAACGACACCGTTCTCCAAGCCTACAACTTTTCGGCGATTGCGGACGCATATGGTGTCGAGCTAGAGTCCGTTCTTCCGGAGGCCATTCCGGTTCCGACCTCTCTCCCTCCGGATCTAGCCCAACTCCTGAACGGAACCTCCATCTCGCTGGCGGATTTAGCCCAGCTGCTGAACGGAACCTCCATTCCGGCCAACTTTAGCATCAACGGAACGCCCATTCCGCCGGAAGTCGTTCAGTACCTCAACGGAACGAAAACCAGCGCGAACAACCCCCAGAGTGTGGATAAGGCCGCAGTCGTCGAAGCAATCGAACGGCTGAGGGCTAGCGAGAGCCGCGGAATGGGTTTCCGGGTCCCGCTCACGATAATGCACAACACCTCGAGCGACCATGCACTTCCGGCGCTCATTGCGGAGCTCGCCCAAGCGAGGCTAAGGGGTAAGGAAGTCAATGGGGAGCTTTTCCTTTGCTTTTGTCAGTACACTCTCTCCTCTTTCATGTTTTGTCGATCAGCAGCTGGTTTGCTTTCTTCCTAAGGCTTCCTTGAGGACGGTCGAGATTTGGTTCGGTGATTGGCGACACATGATGTGCCGCGTTTCTGTCGAATCTTTGAGCCATCTTTCGACCATCTTTGAGTTGACGGTCCCTTGGTTCCCTCTTAAACGCCTCCGTTTACTTGCAGCGCGCCTGAAGGCCTCGGTCGCGTTTCTCAGTCCAGCAGCTGATCACTTCCTCAACCATGTTCCACAGGTTCCACCAAAAATCGACAACCTACTCTCCATTAATCACAACTTCTAAACATGTTCTGCGTATTCCAAGATGTTGCCTTAACACATCCTTCCCTCTCTTGCAGCGCGCTTAGATCGTGCTGACGCCACCCTCAGCGTCAGCAGTCACCCGTTGCCGCTGACCAAGAACGAAGCGGAGACGATCCAGACGTTCCTCACGGTTCTCTCGGCGCTCTTCGTGCTCATTCCCTTCTGCTACCTGGCCGCTACGTTTGCCGTTTTCGTGGTTAGGGAGACCGCGGTCAAGGCCAAACATCTGCAAGTAAGCTGCCGGTTTGGGTCCAGCTTGAATTCAAGGTAAAGCGAAGGACCTGCAGGGTTTTTAGGTATCGGGCTGCCACCTTTCAAGTATTTGTGGATAGGGAGACCGGGTTAAGGCCAAACACCTCCAGGTAAATTGCCGGGGGCATCACTTTTAGTCTGCCGTTTTCCTTCTTCACGGTCAAGGTTAAGGGTCCTGGTTGAGGAAAATCCCGTTGAGTTTGTAATGCTGTAACGTTGAGGTTGAGGGTTCGATCCCGCTAGGGGTCTTGCATCGTGATTTTCCTTTCTCGTGTGTGCAAGTTCGAAGTTGAAGATGTGCTACCAGATGTGCCACCAGATACCCGGGGTAAGTTTTGTTTTGATTGCGGATATTTCAGCAATCTGCTGGTATTGCGTACTCCCTGACGTTATTTCCCTCCGCTTTGCCCCCCGCAGCTCGTCAGCGGCGCCAGCGTGTACGCATACTGGCTGTCCACCTATACCTGGGACCTGCTCGTATACACCGTTATCGCCGCCATTACCATGCTCGTCTTCGCGCTCTACCAAGACACTGCGATGGTTGGCAGCATTCCTAAGGCTCTCGGTCTGTGGCTGCTCCTCGTCCTCTTCGGCGCGGCGGTCATCCCGCTCTCGTACTGCTACGCCTTCTTCTTCACGAGCCACGCTTCAGCGCAGGTGAGAGGTCCTACGTTTTTGGTAACAGAGCTTTTGAATCAATGGGTTCAATCTGGACTTTGAACTAAGGTTGCTCATTGGGACAATCATACCTTTCCTTCGTTCTGCTTTTGTTTACGCGTTGAGCGTCTCAAGCTAAGGGGCCACCCAGGTGGAACTTTTTTGCGATTTCTGAGCTTCGTAAGCGTTCCGGTTTGTGCTTATGCATTTTTTGAATTCCGGCAGTACTTCCGCTCTCCCTATGTCTGGCTTTTCCCGTGACGCGCTCACGATCAGTGGCTGGTCTCACCCTTTCTATATTTCATATCGCTAGCACTGCGTATGTAGTTTTGCAGCTGGTCGGAGTCTTGTTAAATGTCCCTGCCCTGACAACAAGCACGGGGTATCGTTTACGTTCCCATCACCCTCTTCGCCTCCGTGTGCTTCTGAGTCGACGACCATCCACTTGCGGTCGTGTTTTGGTGCTGATAGATCAATCTGAATTCGGCAAAAGACGCAAGTTTAGCCTATTCAAGTGAAACTTCCCCTCTTTGCTCCCTCAGGTGCCCATGCGGGATCCATTCATTTTCTGCTTTGCCTTCTTATGCTTTGAAAATGAGAAACACCCAGCAATTTCCATACGTTGCTGGTAGATTGAAAAGTATTGTCGGTTTATTGTTTTCAGCGACGCAAGTTGAAAGCATACAACTCAACCCTCTCCTCCTCAACTTCTTACAGGTGGCCATTGCCGGGATCCACTTCCTCACCGGCTTCGCCTTCGTTTGCGCGTCCTTCGTCATGGCAGCCATCGAGCGCACCAAGGACCTCAACCGCGTGCTCATCCACTTCTACCGTTGGTTCCCGCCGTTCAACTTCGGCGAGGGTCTCATCAACCTCTCCAAGCTCGACTTTGAAGCCGATTTCCGGGGCAAAACCCCAAACCCCTTCGAGTGGCAAGTCCTCGGCCGGCCGCTCACGCTGCTCTTACTAGAGGCGGCGCTTTTCCTCGCGGTAACGGTCGCGATCGAGCGCGACGTCGCGCAGCTCGTGGGCGCCGCGCTCACGCGCATCTGGAAGCGCCACGTGGCGCCACGTGTCTCCGCGCAGTACCGCCACCTGGCGTCCCAGATCGCGCCCCTGGCGTTCGAGGAGGCCGCCAAGCGCGCTGACGTGGCGGCCGAGGATGCTGACGTGGCGGCCGAGCGGAGCAGGATCGAGAGCGGCGCGGCGGATGACGACATCGTTCTGGTTAAGAACCTCCGGAAAGTTTACACCGTCTCGGGACAGCTGCCGAAGATCGCGGTCGCGGATCTGTGCCTGGGGATCCCCCCGGGGCAGTGCTTCGGTTTCCTCGGAGTGAACGGCGCAGGCAAAACGACCACCCTGTCGGTCCTAACCGGGGACCTGAAACCCACCTCCGGAACCGCGTTCATAACCGGGTTCAGCGTCCTTAACCAGCTTCCGGACGTCCAGCGGCAGATCGGGTACTGTCCGCAGTTCGACCCGCTTTTGGACCTCATGACCGGTAGGGAACACCTGAGGATGTACGCCCGGCTAAAAGGTGCCCGGGAAGAGGGGCTCGAGCGGTCGGTGGAAAAACTTTTGGACGCCGTTGGGCTGTCCAAATACGCGGACAAGGTGTCGGGTTCGTACAGCGGGGGAAACAAGCGGAAGCTGTCGCTCGCGATCGCGCTGGTGGGCGACCCTCGGGCCGTCTTCTTGGGTGAGTTGGTCGCCGTTACTATGGTCCTTTCGGGGCGGTTTTAGCAGGGTCCGTTGTTCATTAGATGATGGGCGGACATTTAAGCAGAAGAGCATGCATGAGGAAGGATGGCGGTCCGCAGGTTACATCTCGTTCTCTACCACAACCCGTCTTTTCTTCCAACATCTTGTTCCGATCTGTCCTTTTGTTTTACTGGTCCGAGGTACCTTTCCAACCGGTCCCTGTTTTCTGCAAACGCGCTCAGCAGCGGTATGGACATCGTCAAGCTCCTTCTCCAGTCCCGCTCCTCTCCCTAACCGTCAAAAGTTTCTTTCCAACCAGTCCCTGTTTCCCTGCAGACGAGCCCAGCAGCGGTATGGACCCAGTCGCGCGCCGCGCCATGTGGGACATCATCTCCCGCTGCACAGTGATCACCGGCGCTGCGGTTATCCTAACCACGCACTCTATGGAGGAGTGTGAGGCGCTATGCGGCCGGGTCGGGGTTATGGTCGCTGGGCGGCTCGTCTGCCTGGGGAGCGTGCAGCACCTCAAGAGCCGGTTTGGGGACGGGTGAGTCGCCTAACCCGGGTTTGCTCCAGTTCGCACTTACTTTCAAGGGCCCCGCTCGGGGCCTTTATCTCGCCTTGAAAGTACGTTCCAGGATCCTGGGAAAGCAGTCTACCTACTCTTGGAGAGATGATTTGAGGAACTCATTGCGGTGCGGGTTCTGCGAAAGTCTACGCTACCACAGTGTTAGTTGCAAGACATGTTGGAGGTCAGAAGTAAACGGCCGGAAGTCTCAACAACAATTTGGCTGAGGCAGGTTGACAACTTGTAGCCCGCTTGACGTGCGTTGGTGTCCTTTGGCAAAGACTGCGGGACGAATATATATTAGGCCGCGCTTTTGGTGCTCAGTACGAACTTGCAACCGCATATCCGATTTCCGGAGCCTTGCTGACGTGTCGCTGACGTGGCCACGCAGGTACCACCTTGAGATCCAGGCGGGGCTCAGGACGCCGGGCGGGGTGCCCGCCGTCAAGCAATTCGTGGCGACCACCTTCCTGGGGGCTCTACTCGAAGAGGAGCACGGTGGTCGCCTAAAATACCGTCTCCCGATGGAGGGTTTGTCGCTGTCCCGCGTCTTCGGAGCTATCGAGGGCGGAAAGGGCGCGCTGGCGATAGACGATTACAGTGTCAGTCAGAGCACGCTAGAGCAGGTCTTTCTTTCTTTTGCCAAGAGTCGAGACGCCGAGCCGATTGTGTAAATTGGTTACATAACTTTCTGAAAGCAACTCAAGGTAAAAGATTCTGGGATTGTTCGCTGAGTCCAGGTCGTCGATAATAAGTTCCCGCAATCTGGAAGGAAATGTAGAGTACTGGGAGGAAAAGCACGGTTCGTTTGGAAGAGGGATCACAGGTGGTCTATAGGGGTTGTGAATGGGCCAATTGGCCGCCGGGAACGGAACAGGAACATACGATACTTAGCTATCACGCACTTTTTAACTTTACTTCTCAGCTCGGCAGTAGTTCTTACTGAGAATCTTCCCGGTCACCATGGCCCGTTATTGACATTCTTTGGCGCGGCCGCCGCATATGACGCGGTGTTTGCCGTCACACATCGCGGCCACGTACTAACGCGGAACTGAGTCGAACATCCATGCATGTTTGAAAACAGGCGTGATTGGTTGAGTGGAAAGTTTCGATCGCGGCCGTCTAATTTAAGCTATCAATCATGCGCGGCCTGTTTGGCACACGCGCGGCGCATCACTGCAACAGCCGCCGCGGCCTGTGGCATGCACTTGAGCAATCACGTTGGCAAAAGCAAAAGACGCGCCGTGAGTCACTGGCATGAGCTCCATGATCCAAGTTCATGCAATCATTCTTGACTTAAGTTGATTGGTATTTACGTCACTCGCGTGCCTGCGGGGCCGCGGCATTGCATGAGCTGTCGTGCATCATCTTTTGATCGCATACAATCTTAAGTAAGATTACGAAGCACTTGACCTTGGGAAAGTATTATATCGCGCGGCAGACAGATGGGCTCCGCTCACTCCCGCGCTACACGTACTACCCTAGTGACCATTGAATTCAGCTATCTAGACGTACTCGGATGACAGGCGCGCGGCCCCTTCGAAGTTGTTCATAGATTATAGCTGTGCAAATCGATATCGAGAACATACGCAGCTTGCAAGAGAAAGTGCAACTTGGCAGGTCTGCGGTTGCCGCTTGATGAATATTAATTGGGCATAGCTGGAACCGTAGAGCTGTTCCATGGAAGCATTCTTTCATCAACAAAAAGTGACCGTGAAAGAAACGATCAACGAACCACGAGGAAAGTTTTCAGACTGAGACTCCAGTGCACCAAAAAACTTGGCAAGCCACCGCTGCATTGGTTGCAGTGTATGGTTAGGAGGGAACAAAGAGAGAACGAAGGAAGGAAGAAACACACTACGAGAGAAAGAAACGCTGTAGAAAGCATCAGGAGAAAAGCACAAATCAAGAAAAGCATGATTAGGGGCGAAGTGGGGCTTACTTCTAACCAGCCACACCCCGATAAGGTGAGGAACTTCGCGGTTGTCGGCAGTACCTTCCCCCCTGCTTGCAAGCAGTTATGGCGCATGAAGGACGATGCATGAAACAATTTCGATACATGAATGCTTGACCAAAATGTGGATAAGCTATGCACGGCATAAGGACCCTATTCGAACATCGAAGTCACTGGCCGTTTGCAGTCGCCCTGAAACCTTAGCACAAGCTGAGTTTTGTGAGAGTCAACTATCCAGCTGTTTTTTGGAAGTTATAAGGCCCTCCCAATCTGCGACACAGCCCTGCTCTTAATACATCTCTTATCATACCGTACCGCTATGCAACGTAGTATCAATTAACGCCTTGTACCAGTTCTCTCAAAGCACACTCGATCCTAACTGGAGTGACATCCAAGGTCGACAGATATAATTTGGGCGAAGAGGAACGTTAAAACTGTAGCATGCAGGACCTTAGAGGGTCACTCCATCCGTGCGGATCCTTCGAACAGGCTGCAGCCGCTATTATTTTGAACAAAAGTTGCTTCTCAAAGTCTCGTTTTGACAATGGGCGCTTCAAAGTCTTACTGATTGCTTTAATCCAGTCTACTGCAACTTCGGTTCAGCTTGTCCTTACTGAAAAATCCCACTTTGACGACTCAGGCACTTCAAAATCCTATTCGCTATGTACGTACCCACATCTTATGTTTACACAAAGTTCCACAAGTCAGAGGCCAAGCTTTTGCACGTAATTTGAAGCTCTTGTGTACAAACCTCAACCACAATCAAGCCTTATCCATATCAGCAAGCTAGCAACTTTCTGCACGTCCTCGTCTTGGTACATCGCGCCCGTCGAAGAGCCCGTTTCACAAACAAGAATACTAAACCACCGGTCATCTACTTGCAAACAAAGCTCGTACCCGAGTACGAGCACGCCAGGGACTCCTTCTTCTGTGACGCGCTTGACCGCAGTTTGCGCGACGCACCGATCAAGCCGGGGGCTTTGGACCGAGCCGCCTGATGGAGAGACATGAAGGAGGAAAGCTGTTCAAGCCGCCAACCTTCAAAGGGGGTGCATCTTCGGCCGGACACCCTAACTGACGTAGCTCTCAATCTAGAAACCTAGCGAGCAGTAATTAAGATTCACTTGGAGGTTACCAAAACCCTGACGCAACAATGTACCCGATCCGCACCCCACCCTAACCCCCTAAGTAACCCCACCCGCCTCAAGTACCGTTCACTGGGTTTCCTATTCCTATTGACTGAATTCTGACTGACTCTATCTGGCCTCAATCAGGTGTGACGTGGCGGAGCACGAATCCAGTTCAAACGGGCTTTGATCGACGTTACAAAACCGGAGATAACCAAACAAGCAAGAAGCAAGTCTCGATACGGAAGCAGACTGGGATCGACGAAAGTTTGCAGAGGGAAAACATTATGTTTTGAAAACCTCTGTGAAGTTTGCGAACGGGCTCGTAATAAAGCTGGCATCATCTCCACTTCCTCCCATTGGGCGACAACCAGAAACGAGGGCTGCCGCAATCAAAGGCCCCCACATTCTCCCATTGAGAGTTCGTTCCGCTCGAAATGAGCTTGATGCCTGAACGTGAGCGTCACTTAGAGAGTGATCATTATCCGCTGGCGAGCTCACCGTGGAGAAGCGGTCGTAGCTGCAGTCTGCGGACGTGAGGTCGGACGTCTGGTAGTCCTCGTCCGCACCTTCCACGTACTCGCGGTGGTTCAACTACGCTTGCGTGGCCATCTTCAGCCGCGCTTCCACTGCGCCGGGGGCGTACATCTGGCCCATGAACTATGGGGGGGGAAAACGAGTTTGAAACTGCTTCGAGATATTACAGGAAGGTATGGCTGCTAAATAGGCTGATTGCGAGTCAGGTTGCTGGGCAGATAACTGGGCTCAACGCTTGTTCCAAGGCTGCTTAACGCCCAAGTCTGGTCACTGGACATGTGCCATTTCCAATTTAGCCAGAATCATTCAAGCTCAAGGGCCGATCAAAGCCCCATATTTTCTAGGCAATTACGGAATTGGGCATAATAAGGCCGGCTAAATTGCCAAGGGGGGATCTTTTCATCAGTATAACTTCAGAGCGGAACAAACAGCGAACGAAGTGTACTATGCTTTCCTTTTAGACGTGGCGAAAGTTTGCTGGCGCCTACAATAGAATACAGCCCACGAGTGCACACTGTGTCTGCGGAAAACGCAAGGTCTGGAACAAGTAGTCTCCCGTGATCATTTCCAGCCGAATTGGGCTCTCGACACCTCGCCTTGCAGCCTTCTACCTAGGGCGTTGCTCGGCACTGATTAAAAGGCAACGTAAAGGGTCGGCCTAAGGATCCGATGAGAAAAGGAGATCGACTACTCTGGAATAACGAAACGGGTTGTCATGACAGTGACAAATTACTCTCCCCGGAGGACTCACCCCGTGCACCTCTGGGCCCAACTTAATTGGTTTCGACAAATCAAGCTGGTCTAAAACATTCCAAGTCGCCCCTGACTTTTATCCGAGTCCGTCACAAACACCGGTGCTCTGAACAGCTCCCGGCACCTTGCGAAGTCCTGCTTAAGGGCGATATACTCAGCAATGATTTGGTTGTGTCGATTCTCAGGAATAAAGGAAAGCGACATGGAATCGAGTTGACAGTGTCCATTCATTTCCCCCGGGAACTCACCCCGTGCACCCCCGGGCCGACCGGCAGTCCCTTGACTGCCAGGTTGATGTAGCGCACGGGGGGACCTTCCGGTTGGTCCCGGAGCTCCGCGTCCTCGGCGCGGCTGACCTCCACTTCGAGGAGGCCGTCCAAAGACACCACCAACTGGTCCGGAACGGCCGTACGTCCGACTTTGGCGATTCCGTCCGGGCTTGTCCAAGCGGCCTGGCGGAAAAGGGACGGAATTCCAGATTTCTGGTTCGTGGGTTTGTGACACCAATGAGGATGGAGCCTCAAAAGCTGTGTGATTGGTTTTTGTGTTGGGCAATGACAAAGAAGAAAGCAGCGCACTTCCCCGCCATCAACCAAAAAGCGAATTCGAATCTTCAGCTGGATGGGACGGCTTTCATTTTGAGGTCGGGAACCAAATAGGACAGTACCTCTTGTGAAATTATCATCACTGCTGGCAAGCAGCTGCTCTTCCGCACGCGCAGAACGGAAAACGAAATTGAAAGACCTGCGGCAGGAGTCCTTTCGCACCGACGGTCGGGAAGAAGGGGTGAGAAGTGGGGTAGGAAAGAAGCACAAAGAAGCGGAAGTGGTGTAGACGAGAGAACGAATTGACGGGACCGACTAAATCGACAGAGACGGACATGTATCTCAGAGCGGAACGACACTTCTCGTCCAAGATTACCCTTGCTGTAAATTTGTAAGAGATCTGACTAATGTAAATGTACCCTTCCCCGCTGACATCACAGACTCACGTCTTCGCTCGTCCTGACCGGTTCGTCTTCAAAGGTGACGTTGAAGGGGTGGACGCTGACGTCAGTCAGCGTGCGGTCCAGTCGGACGGCGATGCGCTGCGTGCGGCCCTGGCGATTTCGGTACACGAAGCCGATTCCGTCGATGCAGGTGAACTGGAAGCACCGGCCGCCATGGTAGCGGTGCTCGGGAACTAGAGCGGTGGGAGCCAGGCTGAACATGTGTGCGTTCACCTGGCATGGGAGGAGATAACCAGCACTAACCAAGCTTGGTTTGTGGTTGGTCAAGTGTACCCCTCTACCGACACAGCGTGGTTCATGTCTGATTCGATGGCCTTTAACCACGATTGGTTAAGGGCGCAGTGCGAATCTTCTGTCCTGTGCATGGGAGAGGAAAGTCACACAGAGAGTCATGGCGTTTAGAATTGGCGCACGTCATGTGCCTTTCTAACGTCCGGCGAAGGCATTTGCCTGGTTAAGAAAAGGCGCGCGTGTGTGGTTAGGGCAGATTGATGCCGAATTTCTTGCTCTGCTGTATCAAACAGCTGGTCGAGCTTAACCAGAGCTCAAAGCCTTTTTATCAATTTAAGGGCGAGGAGCCCAGCATTGGCTATGGTCACTCAACCGGCACGCAATAAGTTCGCCAGAATCTCTGTAACCTCAGTTGAACTCTCTGGTTTCTGAGGAACTAGCTCTCTCTAGTTTTTGAAAAAGCAATTAAACTCTCTGGCTTTTGTATAAGTTACTATAATTATTTGAAGTCTGGCTCACCGTAATTGCAGCATTGGTTATCATGCAGTAGGCGTTGCCCGCTGATCCATGGAAGTCGAATGTGAAGTCAGTGACGTCAGTCTGGTTGGGCGGCAGCAGGCCCGGCAGGCTGATGTGCGGGTCGCCAATAACGACTGCACTTGAGGCCTCGTTCTCAATCAGAATTGGTTCAGAGGGATGCAATTGAAGGACTTCAATTGCATTGCGAGGGAGAAACTGGTCTTCAACAATCCAACAACCTCGGTGGTTTTCTAGCCAGGTGCTGATATTGGAAAACCTGGTCAAAGGCATCTGAACGAAAGATGATTAAGACTGTCCTCTTTCGCAGGAACTATTGTCGGTCACCATGAGTTCGTTTAGATCAAGTCTCTGCTGTACGTGTTTGGCGGTTCATCAAGATTTAATCTAGGAACTTTCTTCAATATCGTGAAAAGAGTTCAAGACGAATCTGGTCGAGCCCCGCCACGCAACTCGCTTTGAGAACCGGGTTAGGAACCGTGTTAGGAAATGCTGATGGTGGCACGGGGGTGACGATCCCTGGAGTCCATGGAGCCAAAGGAGGTACAGTCTTGCACAAAAGTTGGGGTTTGCGCTGTAATGCAGAGAACTCTTGTACAGTACCCAGCTGTGAAGGCTCTTGTCTTAAAGAAAGCTGGCCCAATCTACCTGATGCAAAATTTCCGTAGCGTAATGCTTGCAGGACTGTTGACTTGGACGCAAAGAGAGGGGCTCACTGCCACGCTAATTGAATGCATGGCAATTTGTACCGCACAGCTTGGAATGTTGAAAAGCAAATGGAAAAGCATGCAAATCTAAAAGCAGAAAAGCGGGAAGGAAAGAGACAACCCTAATACTACAGTGAGATTGAGAAACTCTGCATATATCTTTTCAAGTTGACGAGCTGTACTAGTACATGGGCTGAAGGATAAAAGAAAGAGAGGAGAGAAGTGAAAGAGAGAAATGCTGCAAGAAGGAGGAGGAGTGACGCAGAAGAGGCACAATGATTAAGGAGGGGCGGGGCGGGGCTTACATCCGAGTGGTGCGCACCCAAACGAAGTGCAGACACTTTCTCCTGGAGTACAGCAGTACATGCCCATGCACAGGTCGTGCGGGCAGCAGAACTCAACGCCCGCTAGAGAGAAAGCGTTGAACATCCGTGACTTGGAACAACAGATCTGGGTCCCCAAGTAGGGAGCTCCAGGGGCTGCTGGTGCATATCTGACGCTGCACCCTTGGGCGGCGTTCTCGGGGCAGCACACCCCCCCACAGCAATTGAAATTGCGCGGGAGATTCTCCGTCCCGGGGGTAAAAGGGCAGCACTGGTTGTTGCAGCACGACTCCCCCCCGGAGCAGGTTGTCCCGCCGCAGACGTCTTGGCATGGCCGATTGTGGCATGGGGGAGGGAAGCAACCAGGCAGAAAATCATGAAGGCTACAAAGGGCCAGGGTTGGTTAACGAAGGAAAGAGGCGCCATATCAGCGGGTGGGGGTTTGGTTTAGGCGCGTTTCTACGTCAAGGCCGGGGAAGGGGAAAATGTACAGCACAGAAAGGAGCTTTGACGCTGTGGGGCGTTCTCTTGTTTCGGTGCATGCTGACGCCTCGAGAAAGCGAGCTGCCACTCAGCAGGAGAAGATGGTATCGAAGGTAGTATCTCATGTACCCAGCAGCTCCGTTTAGCTCGTAACGGTGAAGCTTCGTCTATCGATAGAGTTACATCTAATGACTACCTAGTTACATCTAAGAGTACATAAGAAGTGCGCGCGCAGGTTTTATCCTTGATTCGTTCTGAACCACTGTAGTGGGCACTAGGTAGTACTACTACTACCTATGTCGGCCGTGGGTGCGTTTGCGACAACTTAGATGTATGAGCTTCGACTTTGATGCCAGCCGGAGAACTTCACAACAGTATGATTGGCAGAGCCTGAGATACAGTAAGTTCGTATCAGCTAGCGTGAAGTTTATACATGTCTACCGGTACATGGAAGGAGGTGACGAGCTACTGCCACTCACAGAATTCCAAGGCACAATCTCACCGCCCACCTGCCGTGGCATGATGTCACGTTGCAGCTGGTCAATGATGGCACGAGTCACCGGTGACGGACAACTCCGAGACCTCGGGGATCATTATGCATTTACCGTACGGTAGATGTCGCACGGTCATAATAGAGAGTACTCAAAACGACGCGGCTAAAGCCCGCGGTACCTACCAGCTGAAGCCTGCCAACTTCCAAGACAGTCGGTCTTTTGATTGTCGATCAATAGTCACGACACACCGGGCGCAGCCCCCCCCGGCGCGAGCTACGACATTCCGACCGTTCGATCGGATGATTGGAAGCCTCCGAGTCCGCCGCGCGCGCCCGCGAACCGGGCCAAATTCGGTAATCGTACGGCGAATCGGCGATCCCCCGGGCGGCGCCGGGCCCCCTTGCCCGGCCAGAGATCCCCGGGCCCAGGGCAAAGATCGATCGCGGCTTGGGCCCCGCGGCCTCAGCACCGTCCGACTCTGAGTCGAAATGTTCGATAGCAGCGCCCACCAGGCCAGGGGGTTTGACAATTCACACAGACTGTTTTAATATCGCAGCTACCTAGTTGATCATGTGATTTGCAGTACCCGGCCAGCATAGGTACCTATGTACAACTCAATCAGTCTCTTGAGTGTTCACTGTTGACGTTTGGATGTTACAAGCAAATACAGTACATAGTAGGTAGTACATACCTACCGCCTCCATGGTGGTGCTACAAAAACTAGTACGGGACGCCAGTAGTCGACAAACACGGGACCGGGTACCCAACCCTAGCTTATAACTTTAATAGCATGTGCCATGCAGCGCGGATGAACGGATGGATGGCAGATGCAGCTGGGAACTCCAGCTGGTGGATTGGACGTGCCTCAGAAAGCAGTACGCTGATCGTCACCTGGCCAGGGACGGCCGACGTACACAGTACTGTCAATAGTGACTCACAGTGAAAGAACACTGTTTGACAGCTGGTCGGCCCATCTTTTCCTGCTGAAGAGGCAGCTGGCTTTCTCTGAGCTGGCGTCAAGAATGCGAAGCCAGCAGCGGATCATCTCCAAAGCTCTTCTGTGCTTTACTTCTCCCCGGTTCATGTCCTGGTTTATGTCCAGCTCGGGGTCCAGCTCCAACGTGGAAACGACGCAACGTCGTTTTCACCAAATCTCCGCCCGCTGATATGGCGCCTCTTCTCTTCAACCAATCCTGGCCCTTTGTAGCTGCCTGCATTCTCTGCCTGGTTGCTTCCCTCCCCCGTGCCACAGTCGCCCAGACCAACTGCGGCACGGCAACCTGCTCCGAGGGGGAGTCATGCTGCAACGACCAGTGCTGCGCTTTACCCGTCGGAATTAGCTTTAGCCCTTTCCCCCGCCAAGGGTGCTGCGGCGGGGTGTGCTGCACTGACAACCCCTCCCAGTTGTGCGCCTACACATTTCCACCAGATGGAGATGGAAATCTCATTGAGTCGACCACAGTCTGTTGTTCCAGGTCGCGGGTTTTCGTCCTTCGGTTCCTGCCGGCCTTTTTGTACTGTTGCTCGCAAGAACTGTGCAAGGGCAACTTTTGCTGTGTTCCCCCAGATGTCTGCACTATATTTGGGTGTGGACCAATCGGAAGTAAGCCCCGCCTGGCCCCTCCGTGGTCTGTGTGCTTCTTGCTCTTCATTCCTCTTAGTCCCTGCAGTATGGCTTTGCTCCAATTTGTCGAGTCCTCTCTTTCTCAGATTCATTCTTTCGACCATATGCTTTCAAAGCTTGTCAGAAAGTATTTGCGAAACTTCCTATTTTGCATTTGCTTCCAAAATTCCAAGCTATATAACAAAGAATGCCATGCATGTAGCGTGGCAGTGAGCCCCTCTTTCCGCATTTCAGTTAAGAATCCTGCAAGCATTACAGGACGTGTGGTAAGCCACAGAAAAATTGAGACAAGAGCCTTCGAAAGTTATTGCACAAACGTTCTTTGCTTTATACTAGGGCAATCCTTGACGTTTGTGCAAGACTAGGCTTCATATAACGCCAACCCCAAGGATCCTCACCCCTGCGCCAAACTCAACATTTCCTAACCTGGTTCCTAACCCGGTTCTTAAAGCAAGTTCCACGGCTGCTGGGTTGAACAATCTCGTTACGAAGCTCCTGTAACGGTAGGAAGAGAGTTCGAAGAACGAACTTGGTGAACTGCCCAAAAGGTACAGAGAGACTTGATCCACGATAACCCGGTGACAGATTCATGGTGACCGACGGAACTTCCAACATGCAGCAGAGAACGAGTTTAACCATCTTCAGTTAAAATGCCATTGACAGAAAATTAGAATTTCCCATCATCCGCACCTGGTTAGACGGGCGTTGAACCATAGATTCACCGAGCTTATTTAAGACCACTTTTGCCCACACAAAACGGTTGAAGTGCTCTGAACCCCCTTAAGCTGACCAGTTTGATCAAAAACAGATAATTCACGTGCAGTCGTTGTTGGCGACCCGCACGTTAGCCTGCCCGGGCCTGGTGCCGCCCAACCAGACTGACGTCACTGACTTCACATTCGACTTCCACGGATCAGCGGGCAAGGCCTACTGCATGATCACCACTGCTACAATTACGGTGAGCCGGAGTTCAAGTGGTTCTATAGAAGCCAAAGAGTTCAATCGACTCTTCAGAAGCCAAAGAGTTCAACCGTTTCCTCTAGAAACCAGAGAGCTGAACAGATTCTTCCGTATCCAGAGAATTTACCTGGGAATACCGATGTCCTGTCGTACCGTTTGTGCGCCGTTGAGTCCCCATAGCCAATGCTCGGCTACTCGTCCTTGAGCTGATAAGACCGTTTGAGCTCCGGTTAAGCTACATTAAGCCCGATCGGTATGATGCAGAGCAAGGACTACGTCGTCAACGTCCTGCTCTGACCACACGCGCGTGCCTCTGCTTTAGCAAGCAAACGCCTTTGATGGACCTCACAGGAGCACACGCCCGCCACTTTAAAAGCCACGATTCCCGCTGTGAATCTCCTGCCCAACTCAAAGGCCCTTCGTCCTTAACCACGATCGCTTGAAGGGAATTTAACCAGGCACGTCGAAGCACAATCTCTCAGTAGAAGGGCACTTGGAGTCAACCTCATATCAAGCCTAATTGGTAAATACTATTCTCTTCCTGTGCCAGGTGAACGCGCACATGTTCAGCCTGGCTCCCACCGCTCTAGTTCCCGAGCACCGCTACCATGGCGGCCGGTGCTTCCAATTCACCTGGATCGACGGAATCGGGTTCGTGTACCGGAACCTCCAGGGGCAGACGCAGCGCATCGCCGTCTGGCTGGACCGCACGCTGGCTGACGTCAGTGTCCACCCCTTCAACGTCACCTTCGAAGACGAGCCGGTCGAGACGAGCGAAGACGTGAGTATGTGACGTCAGCAGGAAACGGTATGTTTAGCCCTATCAAACCTCGTATCAGAAATTCTCAGTTTTCTTTTGGACGAGAAGTTTCGTTCCGCTTTGAGAGACGTGTCCGTCTCTGTCGATTTAAGTCCTTCCTATTAATTCGGTTTTTCCGACTCCACTTCCGCTTCTCTGTGCTTTTTTCTACCCCATTTCTTACCCTTTCTTCCCGGCCGTTGGTGCGAAAGACTCCTGCCGCCGGTATCTCACCGTTCCGCGAGTGCGGGAAAGCAGCTGCTTGCCAGCAGTGATGATGTTTTCATAAGAGGTACTGCCCTATTCGGATCCCGACCTCAGCATAAAAGCCGTCCAATCCAATTCAGATTCGTTTTTCTGGTCGATGGCGGGGAAGGGCGCTGCTGTCGTCTTTGTCACTGCCCAACACAAAATCCAATCAGACAGCTCTTGAGTCTCCATCCTCATGCTGGTGTCACAGACCAACGTCAGAAACTTAAGGTACCACGAATCAGAAGACTAAACCGGTTTCCGTCCCGCTTCCGCCAGGCCGCTTGGACGAGCCCGGACGGCATCGCTAGAATCGAACGTACGGCCGTTCCGGACCAGTTGGTGGTGTCTTTGGACGGCCTCCTCGAAGTGGAGATCAGCCGCGCCGAGGATGCAGAGCTCCGGGACCAACCGGAAGGTCCCCCCGTGCGCTACATCAACCTGGCAGTCAAGGGCCTGGCGGTCGGCCCGGGGGTGCACGGGGTAAGTCCCCGAGGAGAGGTTATTGGCATCTCAATCCAATCCCTTGTCTGAAAGTAGTCGCTCAATCTGCCTTCTCGTCGAAGTTCCACATTGCACTTCTGCCGGATCTCCGGATCAGTGCCGAGCCAGGCTCTAGGGAGAAGGCAAGGCGAGCTGGCAAGAGCAGAAAGACGGTCGGCTGGAAATTGTCATGGTAGACTCGGCTTGGGTTAGAGTCCGTTCTCTCAAGCAGAAAGTGGGCGCTCTGGATCTCTTCGGTGGGTTTTTCCTGTTGTTGGCGCCAGCAAGCTGTGCGCTACGTCTGCGTGGAAAGCAATACGGTTCAGCGTTCCTTTATTTCCGCTCTGAGATACTCGGATCTAAATGCAGAGTCGTCTGACGAGGTAAGTCGAAGATTGATGTTAAAGGCAAGCTGTCTTTGAGCGTTCCAGACTTCAATTACAAACTCAAAACTTAGCCCCCAGTTTATGCTCCAGCCAGTACTACATATACAGCGTCCGATTCGCAACGTCTTCGGCATGAGATTGCGGCGCATCAAACTCCGCCCGCGATGTGCTTCTTGATATCTTCCAAACTAGTGACACTCTCGGGATGCCACGAAACATGGCAAAACATGAAGTGGTGGGCCCGCTTCCCTTTGCACTTTACCGGCCACGTTACGCGCAAGCCTCGGTAGGTACGATCACATGATCGCCTAGGAATAAAGAGGACACGAAAATTATCCGAAGCAGATCCAGACCGTTTTTCCCCCCACAGTTCATGGGCCAGATGTACGCCCCTGGCGCTGTGGAAGCTCGCCTGAAGATGGTCACTCAGGAGGGGCTGAACCACCGCGAGTACGCGGAGGGTGCGGACGAAGAGTACGAGACGTCCGACCTCACGTCCGCAAACTGCAGCTACGACCGCTTTGCCACGGTGAGCTTGGCCAACGGATCCGCGTCGCTAGGTTTTCTTTCGTCATGACAGTATAATAATCCTGGGACGTTTCTACAACCTGAGAAGCGGTTGAATCACGAGGCGGCAGCCCCTCTTTTCTACTTGTGGTCCAACAGAAAATATGGAGATGCTGCCGGTGTAATCAAAGCCCGTTCGCAAACATCCAAGATAATTTTGATAAACAACGCTCTCTCTCCGCAGAGGATTTGGTCGTTCCCAGGCAGATTCAGCTCGGGACTCACTTCTTGCTCGTTTGGTCATCTCCGGTTGTGTAACAGTCAAACCCGGCTCGAATCATGGAGTCGTGCTCCGTCACGTCAAACCTGGTTAGGCAAAAGAGCGGTTCATTAGAGCCTTCGAAGATGCAAACCTGTTGATGGATGGGGTTTGAAGAGCTTTCGTTCTTTACGTCTATTCATCAGGCGGTTCAACCCGAAGCCCCCAGCGTGATCAGTGCGTCGCGCAAGCTGCGTTCAAGCGCACCACAGAAGAAGGGGTTCCTGGCGTGCTCGTACTCTGGATCGAGCTTTGTTTGCAAGTAGAGAGCCAGTGTGTTAGACTCCTCAAATTTGAAGCGGGCAGCTCTTCGATGGGCAATTGTACCGAGATGAGAATCGGCGAAAAGTTGCTAGCATACCAATCGTCGGAAGACCTCATTGTGGTTGCTTGTATGCAAAGCAAGAGCTGCAAAAGTGCAAGAGCTTGGCTCCTGGGTTGCCGAACGTGTGTCAATGTAAGATATGGAACCTGCGTAGCAATCAGAAGGTTTAAGTCTGATCGTCACCGCGAGCTTCAATTGAAGTGTAAGCTGTGGAACGCACACAGCGAACAGGAGTTCTAAGCTAGGGCTTGTCATCAAAACGAAATATTCTAAAAGGGACGAGGTAAAACGAGATAACAGATCTAGCCTGAGTACCCACAAAGGGGTACGTGATCGAAGCGCCCACCGTCAAAACGACGCTTCAAAGTTTGGTAAGGCACATCTTTCCCCCATCTTTCAAAAAGCTGGCGGCTGTGGGCAGTAAGGGCCAGCTATCAACGTCAACGTCAACGGAGTGACCCTCTAAGGTCCTGCTGCAGAATTAGCACTGGAGGCGCCGCGCCCCATGATCCGAAGTACTCATGATAATGCATTGCGAGGCTCTTGTACGGACATCGATATCTGATCGATATCGAGGGTCACTGCATAATTTGATGACATGCACATGCTCTGTACTCCATATGCAGCTAGGAGTGATACTCTTATAACGTCGACTCGATCATTGTGAATTCATGGCTCTGAAGCTCTCATTCTCAACAAACGAACCGAGGATCTGCTGCAAGTCTGTGGGTCTCCTAGAATCACTGCTTCCATAACTTAGGAAAGCATATGCTCCAAAATAAAGTAAAGCTCAACCTATACAGGCTACTGATTCACTAATCCACTAAACTAGAGTCCTGCCCGGGGAGGCCTGGTGGATCGGAGAGTGTGCAGCTCAGCCTGGGAATCCAGCCTGCTAGCCTGCCATGCATGCGCGGCAGGATCTACCAAACCCTAATCAAAATCTGGCTTGGTGCTCAATGCAAAACCCGGTTCGCGGTTAGCTCCGCTACAACTGGTTGTTTCATTTCACCCTCTCTGACGCCCGGGAGTGCATTCTTCTTGGGAAGTAACGCAATCTGGGTTGACGGGCCAATGTACCTCCAGGTGGTTCTATTGTAACCAACGCGCTCGGCGCCCACTCCGTGCATTTCCGCGCGCGCTGCGCATCGGGCTTTTGCGGTTAACGGCCGTCCTCTGCAGGACGATATGCTCTTTGGCACGCGGGATGGACGGTCGCTCAAATGCCCCGAAGAGGAAAGGGTTTCAAAATGAGCGATGTCTTTGTTTGAAACAAGGCTCTGGGAAGGGACGAATCCTGCAGCCAGCAAGTGCTGATTCTAATTCGGATGGACAAACAGGACTTGAGATTTGACAAGTGTGGAGGGTGGAGGTTGCTTCTCTCTTAGTCATTCTGCAGTGCTTCTGCTGGACGCCAGACGCTGCTGATATCGGGCGCGCGGGCGCACCCATTCTCCTACGTCAGGCTTCTCCTGGCTCCATTTGACCTGTTGAGCATTAAGACTTTACAGGCCAAGGAGCGTGGAGCTGCGGAAGCTGCCTGTCTTCGTGTTGTCCTGCGTTTTGCACTCTGGAGTTTGACATTACAGGAGAATTCTCAAAGCAGTGAAAAGGTCTGACGGAGGAATGTTCTGAACAGTTTGTGGACAGATCTGAAGAAGAGGAAGTGCTGATCAGTGCTGCAGAAGGTATTCTGGAAGAAGACAATGGATTCGCCTGGTGCAGATTTGGATGATCGATCGGAGACAGGCTCTCAAGCAGGGTCCTTGAATGGTCACTCCAGTCAGAGTAACAGCAATGTTCAGGTTGTTGTTCGAGTCAGGCCCCCCAATGATCGCGAGAAGGAGCAAGGGTACACAAAGACTGTCAGCGTCGATCCATCTGAGACATGTCTCTTCCTCAAAGAGAAGGCCCAATCACGTCCATTCACCTTTGATTATGTTGCTGACGAAGCCACAACTCAGGACACCATGTTTCAGAGGATCGGGAGACCAATCGCCGAGTCATGTCTACAAGGATACCACTGCTGTCTACTGGCATATGGTGAGCTAGACATGCACCTTCCTTCATATCCAGGCCTTGCCTCTCCTCCTAATCCTCAAAGCACTTCTATCATATTATAGCTTCTGCTACTTTGCGCATGCCTATCCGACCAATGAGTATCTTGAGAGCTGATTGCACGAGCTAGGCGTCTAGCTTTCCTGCTCTTAACCTCCGCTTCATGCCTGCAGGTCAAACAGGAGCAGGCAAGACTTTCACAATGGAAGGTGAGGCGCTCGCTAGCGCACCTGAGCAGATTGTTGGCAAGTATTCAAAGGAGCAGTTTGCTTTCTTCTGCAGTACTCCTTCACAATGTTATTGCGCTCGCTTACCACCTTTGGGGTACTTTCATGTGCCAATCTGATGGTGGTGGGGGTCTGCAGGGCCAACGTCTGACTACGCGGAAGTCAGCAACGTGACGCAAGGATTGAATCGATCTCCGAACCCCTCAAGTTCTGAGCTCAGAGGTCTCATTCCCAGAGTGCTCGACTACATCTTTACCAAGACCGCCCAGGAGAAGGAGATGGTGAGCTCGGGAACCCTCTGCGATTTGCTTAATTCTATGAGGGTGTGATTAACGCAACATTCAGTGCTTGCATCCTGCAGAAGCCTGAGCAGAAATGCTTCGATTGATGTGTTTCCGGTCATTTTCTGATCTCAAGCATATTTGAGCAGGCAGCTTAACGCCTGTGATACGTTGCAGAATGGTGGTGCTCTGGATTACGCAATCAAGTGCTCCTATCTACAAATCTACAACGAGAATGTTAGCGATCTTCTGGATCCCGAGCAAACGAACCTCACCATTCGAGAAGACGTCAAACGGGGGCACTATGTCGAAGGTAGGATTTCCTTCTTTGTTATGGATACAGCTGCTACTTTTCAAAGCAGTACTTGGTCAAGCATGCTGTTGGTCCATGTTTTTGGAATGCCAGCATTCTCGTCATGCTCATCTGCTCTCAGCTGACAATCATTGCATTGTCTTCTGAAGACTGGTTGTCCCTCGCTGACATCGCTTCTGTCTAATTGATAATGAAAAGATGTCCTTGATGGCGGAGAAGTTTACATGTTGCAAACCGAGAGGATCATGGTCCTGAACTGACATTCACACATATCTTACAATGCCGCAGGCCTCCAGGAAGTTGTTGTTCCGAACGCGGAAGCCTGCTATGGGACGCTGCGAAGAGGGTCTGCCAACCGGCATGTTGGCATGACTGCAATGAATGCTGAGAGCAGCAGAAGCCACGCAGTGTTCACTGTTGTGGTCGAGTCGCAGGTAACCTTCCGCCCGCCAATCATCAGCAGAGCAATCCATTCTCCTTTTGAAATGCAATCTTGCCGAAAGGCCGTGTCTGCCTTGCAGCCAAGCCTTCTTTTGAGAAGGAAAGCAGTCCTCTTTTGATCCCCGCTATTCCGCTGCTCCATCCGCAGAGACGAGGGGAGAAAGGGATGATGACAAAACGCATCAGTCGCTTCTACCTTGTGGACCTTGCGGGGAGCGAGAGGCAGAAGCATTCAGAGGCCATGGGGGTCAGGTTGAAAGAAGCTGGCGGCATCAACAAATCGTTGTCTGCACTCGGCAATGTCATCAAGGCCCTGGTCAGTACCTTTTCCATGGTCTGGTCTGGTTCCATTTGCAGCCGGATCTCATTACTCCCAACATCAAAGATGGAGATGTGGTCGAATCTGTCATACTCCTGGGCAATCTCAATACTTGCTGATGGCTCTAAGCTGGAACATCACCTGCAACTAAGTATTGCAATGGTTCTCAGGCAAATTGTCTTACAAACATGTACTGAGGCAATCCTTCTTGGATTGCAGGTGGATACTGGGGAGGGAAAGATTCGGCACGTGCCTTATCGGGACTCCAAGTTGACCTTCCTGCTGAAGGTAAAAACGCTTCTCAAAGTGTGTGTTCCCTGATGCTAGGTGCCCTTTCGCTTTCAAGTAGGTACCTTCTTTGTTGACGAAGCAGTATCCTGAGGGAGTGCGATCACCATGCGGGGTATTTCTCTTTTATTACAATTATTTTCAGCAAAGACAATTTCTGGTGTTGCAGGATGCATTGGGAGGGAATTCAAAATGCAGCCTGGTTGCCAACATCAGCCCTGCCGAGAAGAACGTGGAGGAGACACTGTCCACCCTCAAGTTTGCGCAACGTGCCAAGATGATGCGTAACACGGCCACCGTCAACGAGGACTGCTTCGGGAACCCTGCCACGATGGGGGAAGAGATCAAGAGGCTCCGCTTAGAGATTGCTGTGCTCAAAGGTGAGTTGGATCTGATTTGCTGTGAAGCATCTGCAATTATCAGCATACTCAGATGCAACAAGGACCTCTTGTCTTTTTTCGCGGTTTCGATATTCTGATCATGTTATTAGGACTCCCCCAGCAGAGTCTTCTTCATCTTCCCTGGAGGCTGCTCCACAAGCTGCGACCCTTCTGATCCCCACCTTGTGCTCTTTCTGTTTCCAATGTCATCCCTTTCTTCCCCCCTCTTTTGTTGTACAGCAAACATGGGGAGCCCCACCTCCGTGGAACTCAGCGCTGCGCCTCCGCCCATGGACGAGGCTGAAGCGTCGCAAGCTGCGCGGCTCACCTACATCATCCAGCAATCGTCCAAACGGCACCTCTGGCTTGAGCGCAAAAACCAGCAGGAGTTGGACAAGCTGACCGCGCAGCTGGATGCCGAGAGAGCCGTCAATGAGCGCCTGCACACAGCCATTCAGGTCAGATTGCGACGCGCTTGTATGGGCAAGCCATTCTGAAAGGCAAAGCAGGAAGTTCATACAGAGTTCGTTTGATCGAGGAAGAAAAGTTTCAGGTTTCATGGCTTCGAAAATTTGGCGAGCACGCCTAAGATGTGCAGACGTGTGGTGTCTCGATTGTGGTGAGGTTGACTGTGCTTTTACTTGTAACGTGTCTGTCTTTCGATCACCATGAGCTGGTGTTACAAATGCAATCGCTGTTGAACTTGAGGCTCGATCAGTGTTGAAGCGACAGCCGTTGGTCTGCTTCGCTTCAGAAGGCTGGTCCTTTTGGGACCATCAGATTTCTCTGACACGAGGCGTATATTGCTGCAAGGTGACCTGCAGTTGTAGAGCCATTCAAAGGGAGTCCTGCCTTACAAACTGCTCGTCAGATTCGTCGATGTAAGCCCTCCGATCTGTTTGCTCTCGCCAGGCACACAAGATGATCATCAAGCTCCGAGAGGCCAACATCAAGCGGTTGGAGACGGGTCGTCCACGAACGGATGCCGAGCTGGCGCAGGATGTGAGAGAGGAGATGGAGAGCTTGCGGCGGCAGGTGGACTTCCACCCTGACGCTGTGAAGTTCTCAATGGAAGTGGACATGCTAAAAGGTACGCGTGTCCTTTATTCGTGTGCGCTTATGATGTAATGACTTCGTTGTGTCGGTATCGGTAAAAGGCAACACTCACAGCTCTGGACAGTATCTGAACTCTACTGAACGTTCCCTGCTTGGCGGTTCTGGTAGACGATATCTGAGCGTACGACCGAGCCTTCTGACTTTCAAGCTGGAATACTCGAATTGTTTTGTATCAACTGTAGCTCGATCTACAACCACGAGCAGTTCGGAAGCGGCCTAAACTTGGCCTCTTTTCGGTAAGGATCCTGGCTAATGCGGTCTTCTGCATCTTTGCAGCGCAAGTGGAGGAGCTCATGAGCGAGCGGGACGACGACGAGGACGTTACTGCGCGGCTGGAGCAGACTGAGGCTCTGTACAAGACTGTTTCGAGCGAACTGGAGAGCACGCTTGTCCAAGCGAACAAGCTGAAGACGGAGCTGGCTGCTGCCAAGCAGGAGGAGGAGGTTGCCAAGCAGGAGCAGCAGGCTTTCAGAGAGAAGTGAGGCTTATGAACGCAAAAGCTCCCTTGTCATGTACAAAATTCTTTCTGGAACCGCTTTGCTGCGGATCACTGCAGTTGATTGTCGTCGATGGCTACTCTGGCATTGACGTCATTCGAGCTCATTCGTGTCGAAGCATGAGGCTCCCAATGAAAGCCATCAAAGTCCTGATGCAGAATGAACGAACTAGAGGACGGCGCTTTACTTGTGCAGAATTGCTGCCATGGAGGAGCAGGCCAGGAAACAGCAGGAGCTGATGGACGTGGTCATCGCCGAAGGGGTAACCAAGGACAGCAAGATCGAGAAGCTGGAGCGGGCCCTCGCCAAGCTGGAGCCGACGTACAAGGAGACCGCAGCTCAGCTGGAAGAGGTACGCGCACTCAGGCCAGGCTTGCATCCGTCCCGCCTCTCGTTTCTGCTTCAGAGCTCGCGTCTTTGCCCACGTTGCACTCCGTCCAACCTCTCGCTTCTTCTTCACGAACCGCTCGCAACAGCAGTCCGTTCCATTGAAGACTATGAGATGACCGTGGGTCCCCAAAGGCAGGTGTAAACGGAGAATACGCAGCCTCGAAAATTTCTTTGGACAGAATATTGAACGGATCAGTATTCTGATGTTTGTTGCCTGTTGTGGTTTGTGCAGGAACGTCACCAGAAGGACGTGCTGGAGGTTCAAATGCTGGACGCCAACGAACGCGTGAAGAACGCGCAAAAGGCGGCTGACAAGTACAGCAACGCCTTCAAAGAGCAGAGCAAGTTACAGGTACGTTGCCCACTTACAATGCTTGGTTTGCTTCAAAAGCGAGTCTGTGGCTCTGTCTACGAAGAGGCATTTCTTGCTTTGTCGCATCTTCGTGTTGGCAGAGACGCGCAAAATATTTTTGGAAGAGCGTCCCTTCCTTACCAGAGTCAATCAATCAAAGCCCGTTGGATCCGCAGTTGATCAGCAAGCGGAGCCTGTTGTACCTGAAGCCTATCAGAGGTCATTTTCTAACTGTTGCGTCGGTCTGTTCTAATCTCCTTTCTTTACACCCACAGGAGGACCTATTCGCCGAGCTACAAGCCACGAGCAACGATAAGGACGCTGCCCAGAAGGCGCTAGAGGAGGTGACCGCTAAGCTGGGCACCGTCAACGCTCTGGAGGCGCAGCTGGCGGACCTGCAGGCAGGGAAGGCCGAGCTGGAGGCGAAGCTCCAGGCTTTGGTCAGTATCTACTCATTTGAGTACAAGGGGAATGTGTTCATGGTCTCTCCGGAAGTTGCCTCCGCTGAGAGGTGGTTTTTGAAGTGTACTGGAGCCGCTATATATGGCGGGGCGAAAGGAGTAGGCGCGTCTTGATTTCAATCTTATCATGGGCATTGATGGAAAGCTCACGTTACGAGGAAGTTCTGCTTTGTTGATACTGTTTAATACTCCGCTGAGTACTTGCTGCGAACTTGTTCGACTTTTGCAGAGGAGGACCAGGTGGATGCTGACACTGCATGTTCATTCACAAGATTCCGGTTGAGGCTATGGCTGTGCAGAGAAGATACACTTAGCCGTCTGAGAAGCTTTCCTCCTCTTGCAGGTTGCTGAGAAGGACGAGGGCAGCCGGCTCCTCCAGGTGGCTCAGCAGGCATCAGCGGATCTTCGAACGACGATAAGCGACCTCCAAGACCAGCTGAACGCCATCAACGAACAGCATCTCGCTGCAGTCCAAGAGAAGAACGAGGCTGCACGCGCTCGGTCGGCGGCTGAAAGCGAGGTCGTGGCTCTCACTGATTCCCGTACAGACCTGCAGAAGCAGTTTGACAGCGTTAACGAGCAGCTGAACACAGTCAACGAGCAGCTTCTGATGTCGACCCAGGAGAAGAACGAACTAGCGCGTGCGCGTGCGTCTGTGGACGGTCGGATGGCTGAGCTTGTCGCGTCGGAGGCAGAGGCGAAGCAGCAACTCGAGGGCGTCGCGGGACAGCTGTCGGAGGCGTCGAACGAACGGAACGGCCTTGCAGAAACGGTCTCGAGGATCCAGGCGGAGAAGGACAGTCTAGAGAAGCGGTTTGAGCAATTAGCTGCGGAGAAAGCAGACGGGGAGTCGCAACTGGGCGCGGAGATCAGCCAGCTACATGCTAAGGTTGAGGGGCTGGACCTGAAGGCGGACGAGCTCGAGAAGAAGCTAGGCAACCAGAAGGAGCGGCTCGGGGAGTTGGGTGCGGAGAAAGAGGCCTCAGAGAAGAAGGTGGCGGAGTTGCTGAGCGCTGCGGAGGAGAAGGAGGCAGCCTTGACGAAACTTCAAGCGCAGGTGCGGAAGAGAGTTACTTGGTCATGCCCGGGGAAGCTAGTCGCTCCCGGATGCCGTCTTTGATTTTGGCCACACGCGTAATTCTATGCGTTGATTAGCCGACTGGTTGTATCCCTCTTTGGAATAACATACGCAGATAAGAATAGCATCCACTTTGCTGAGTGTGACCTCCAGCTGTTTTCAGAATCTTGGTGTCGACCTTTGCATGCAGAGTGATTGCAGAACAGTTCAACCCGATCCTTGACCTCACCCTCGCTCGCACTTACACTGGAAATGCTGCGCTGCAGGTCGTACAATTGGAAGACGACCTGGGCAAGATGACCAAGGAGAAGGACACCCTAGCGGACCAGTTTGCGCAGGAGTGGGGCAAGGCGGAGGCTGCCGAAGCCCGTTTCAATCAGGTGGGCAGACACCTGCACCCAAACTCTGGTTGATCAACACATGGTCGCTCGTTTGAGCAAGATTTGCGAGTCCTGGACAAGGGACTTGATCGAGTATACGTGCCCGTGCAAATCTGAGCGTGGCTTTACCGGGAGCTGAAATTCTAGTCTCAGTTAACTGCTGCTTACGCCCACTTGAAATGAGATGTGCGGCGGAGCTGGTCGAGGTCAATACCAGATCCATCTTGAAAGGGCCGCGGCTTCTCAAGTCCTAAGTCCGAACTGTATTTTTTCAGCAGCTTGCTAGAGCGTTTCGTCATCGAGAGCCGGAGTTTTAGCTTGTTCCGTCAGTCGGTTAGGAAACCCGACTTCACGGCGTGCAGGCAAAGACCGACGCGGAGAGCATCAAGGTGGAGCTGGACCTCGCACGCAAAGACAAGGCGGCTGCCGACGAGTTCCTGTCGCTGCTCATGAACGAGAAGCAGCAGCTCAAGGAAGCCCACGACTCGCACCTCGAGGAGAGAGGTGAGGCTGCCAAAAGAAGTGAAATGACCTAGGCATCTGAGTGGGCCTTCTAGCAAAGGTTGGCTCGGACTTGAGGTAAAGACTGGTGAGACCGCAGGCGTATGGTCGTCATGGCACAGCAGCACAATGCGTTTTTGGTGGAGGTTTAAATACGACCTATTCTGGACGCCACGCTGGTGCGAGAGTTTTTCACAATGTTCGATTGTTTCTCAACCGAGTCCAGTTTGGTAGTCTCTTAGACTTGGCTGCAATCTCAGGCACGCTGGAGCAGACGCTGAACGAGCGGGAGAAGCTCGTGCACGAGAAGGACACTCTGCTGGTCCAGCTGGGTGAGCGCGCTGCAGCTCTCGTGAAGGAGAAAGAGGGGTTGGATGCGGCGCTCAAGGCGGCTGCAGCGGAGGCAGAGGCAACTGCCTTGAAGCTGCGAGCTGTGGAGTCGATGCTGCAGAAAGCCGAGGTGAGAAGTCGTACAGTGCATTTTTACTTGCGTTGTTTCTGTGATTTATCCTCGATTTGGCTTTCAGATTACCGTCTGAAGATTTCCGGGACCTTGCATCTCAGTGCTGCTTTCCTTGTCCGGATGGACGGTCATCTCCTTCGACGAGCGTGGAGTGTCGTCGACAATCCGGCTGCTTGTATGGCTAGGAGATGACGGCAGTTCGTTCTGATGAAGCAAGCACGACTTCTTCGCAACGCTACCACTCCTAAAACAATTGCGACTGGTCAGCTCACTAGTTTCTTCTCCAAGTGGTTCGAATTCTCTTGGCCTGCCAGCTACCAGAACATGGTTTGGCGGATCCGGACACTAGTCTTTTAGGGAGATTCGAGGAGGAAAATCGCGGAATGCTGTCTACAAATGTCCTACTTAGAATCCAACCAGGAAACCCTCTCAACCTCCACTAGCTTCTCAAGATGCGGTATTTGTTCCTGCAGGACGGGCGCTTGACGGCAGAGGGCGCTCTGGAGGAGGCTTCAAAGGAGGTGCAGGCGGTCAAGGACGAGATGGAGGGCCTGAAGCGAGAGCTCAACAACGCGAAGTCGGAAGCTACGAAGCTGATCCACAGGGTGAGCATCCCCTGAGCTTTTGAAATAGAGAGCACGCGGTTGTTCTCTGTCCCCGCTTAACGGCTCGACGAAACCTCCGACAGTACTGACTAAGTCACCTCCTGCTAGAGAGACGCTTGAGGATTACTTCCGAGAGCCGAGCCTCGTTCCTTTTCCCACGAACTAAAGCACGGGGTCCGAGCTGACCAGTCGAGGAACTCTGAGAACCCGCTTGTGCAGCCAGCAGAAATCTGATTGCGAGTTTCACAATGCCGCATTTTTGCAATGAAGTGCGAGCCAAATTTCTGAGGTCTAAATACCGTCCCGTGTTTCCTTGTTTGACAGGTGAACGGCCTCGAGGATGATACTATCCACCTTCAGACAAGCCTGGCCGACGAGAAGGACGCAAAAGCAGCAGCTGAGCAATTGGTGCAGGTGAGGCAATCAAGTATAGCTTGACGGAATACTGACAAGAGCATGTGTCCTACAACCAAAGCGCGATAAAGAAAGTCAAAGTGTCCTCTCGCACTTCGTGAAACGCAACTGGTTCAGACAATAGTTTGCCCTGAGCGATCTTTGCTTACATCCACTATTTGCAACCAGCCCACTTCTTTGCGCAAGGTTCCATTAGGACGTCCAAACTTTGATGCATGGCGACGTTGACTTAACCCTGCCCGAAAAACGAATCTGTATCCCTCGCCTTACATCACCTATATGCCCATGTCTTGGAATCGTCCAACACCTCGTTGGGCTGACTTCCTCTAAACAGTGCACGCTTTCGCTTCCTCTCCGTTCTTCCAGCCTAACGCCCCGGTCGTATGACCGGCTCACGCCGGCCCCCTGCTTCTCACGTCGAGTGCTCCAACACCTCGTTGGAGCGCTCGTGGTGCTTTCGAAGCCAAGCAGCCGGGCCCTCCCACTTCGCGAGACTCAAGCCTGCCGGTGGCCTCACAGGAGCGGAATGAGCAGATCACAGCCCTGTCACTAGCCGAGAAAAACCTCCTCACCAGCCTCACGGCGTCGGAAGCGGAACTCGCAGCCAAGTCGGCCGAGGCGAGCGCGCTCTCAGCCCAAGTAGCGAGTCTCGAGACGGAACTCACCAAAGCGGTGGACGATGCGCGGGAGAAAGGCGCCGCGGTCGCACGGTTGGAGGGACAGCTGGCAGCGGTCGAGGGCGAGCAGCGGGCGCTCCTCGAGCGCGCGCAGGAGGCGACGGTGCGGGCGGCGCAGCTCGAGAAGGAGTTTGCGAGGATGGAGGAGGAGAAGCGGGGCCTCGCGGAACAGCTGGCCGAGGCCCAGGGGCATGTGGGCAGGGTCGAGGCGGAGGCTGCTGAGCTGACCGCCAGGATTGAGGTGCTCGAGGCAGCCAAGTCGGACCTTCTCGTAAGGTAGGCACCGAGCTGTTGCACTTCATATCAGAGTTGCTTCTTGGACGGAAGTTTACAGAGAAAGCAGAAAGATTCGTGGTTCGTATGAGCCTTAGAAGGATACGGAAGGCAGATGACGCTTCACATCATATGTTTCCTTCTCTCTTCAATATCTACGTCTGAACATTCGGCTGCAGCCGCTTTACCAGAGATTGCTGTGCGTGAGACCGACTGACTATTTCTGATTTCAGGCGTGGGAGAATACTTTTCAGGACTTGAGTATGTCCCTACGCTCCATTCCATTTGTCAGCTCCTCTCTCACCGCCAATGATTTAGCTGTGGGTTCAACTTGTCCCACTGGGCTTGTCACTCTTGACGCAAGGGCAGGTTCCGCGCTCTGCCGTCTACTCCTCGATACTTCCACCGACTCTTTTCTTTGCAGTACCGAACATGTCCAACTCTTCCACTAGCTTACTGCTCGTCTTCTTCCAAAGAGGAGACCTGAGTACAAATTTCAGTCAACCTCGTGAGACTGTTCTAACATTCGCCACGACGATTGCTGATGTCCGCCCTTTTCATCCTTCTCAGGGTGGCGGCCGCGGAGTCCGCTCTGGACGCAGCGCATTCCGAAGCAGCGGAGCTGCTAGAGGCCGAAAAGGATGCGCTCTTGGCGGAGCATCAGAAGGCCCTCTCCACTCTTCAGAACGCCCTCCGGACAACGGATGCCCTCGCTTCGGAGCAGGCCACAGCTATCGAGAAAATCGAAGAAACGGTCAGGGCACTGGAGGAGGAGAGGGACGCGATCGCTGCTGAGCATGCGGCTGCAATGAAAGCGGCGGGGGAGGAAAGAGTCGCTATTGTAGAAGAGCACGGCGCGGCGGTGGCTGCGCTCGAGGAGCGCCTGCGCGCAGCCAAGAAGGAGCGGGAGGCGCTCGTTTCGACGCACGCGGCGGCCGTCGCTGCTCTGGAAGAGGCGGTCAACAATGCGGCGAAAGAGAAAGAGGCGCTCGTTTTGGACCACGCAGCTGCGGTTGCCTCGCTGGAAGAAGCGCTCGACGACGCGGCGAAGCAGAAAGAGGCGCTGGTTTTCGACCATGCCGCAGAGGTTGCTGCACTGGAGAACGCCGTAACGACGGCGGAGGAAGGAGGTAAAGCGGCAGTGGCCGCGGCCCTTGAGAAGCAAGAGCGAGAGTGCGCCGCGAATCTGGGCACCCTCCGGAAGCAGATGGAAGAGAAGGTGCGCGAGTGCGAAGGGGCCGTTGCGGAGAAGGAGCGGCTGCTGGAGAAGGTGGAGTCGCTCAAGGGCGACAGCATGAAGCTGATCGATGAGATCGTGAGCCGCGTGGCTGCACTGACGTCAGAAAAGGAGGCGCTGATGGAGGAACACGCGGCAGTGGTGAGCGGATATGAGGAGCGGTTAGTGGAGGCGGAGAAGGAGCTGTCAGAGTTGGAGCGTCGGCTGGACGACGAGACCGTGCGGGCGAAAGCGAGCCAGCGGTTGGCTGACGCAGCGTCTGACGCGGTGGCCATGCTCGAGACGAAGACAGGGGAGCTGCGGGAAGAGCTGACGTCAGAGAGGGCGCAGCTTGAGGCGGCCAGGGCGGGAAGCCAGGAGAGCCAAGCAGAGCTCGTGGAGAAGGCGGGCGACATCGCGGGCCTGGAGGGGCGCCTGGCGGACGCGAGAGCAACCGAAGCGGCGCTTCGGGCCGAAGTCGAAGCGTCACAAACCGCCCAGAAGGAGGCGCAATCGGATCTCGCCAAGACGAGGGCAGCGATGGAATACAAGCTTGGGGAAGCGGAAAAGTGGGCGGAAATACAGCGCGCCGAGCTGGACGACCGTCAGAACGCAGCCGTAATGCTCCTCACAGCTCTGGAAGAGAAGGAGCGGGCGCTCGGGGAGGTAACTCGGTCGCTCGCAGCGGCGGAGGCCGAGGCTGTCGCTCTTCGGGAGGAGCGCGAGCGGTGGAACGCTGAGATTGCGGTGCTGGAGGGGTCGCTGTTGGCTTTCGAGGAGCAGATTGAGGGCCTGCAGAAGGAGAAGGCGGTGGCCCTGGACGAGCGCGCGAGGGCGAGGCGCGAGGTCGCGCGGCTTAAGGGCGATCTCGAGGCCGCGAAGGCCAGCCTGGAGGTCGCCGAAGAGGGCGAGGCGGACGAGGCGAGGACTCCGATCGGGGAGAAGCCGTCCGAGGTGCTGAAGAGGCACATTAAGAGCGGCGGCAAAAAGGTAAGCTTGATTCCGGGCCGCATTTCTCCTTTGAAGCGGAAGGAAAAGTGCAAGCATCTCATTGATTTGGTTTCGTTTCCAGTTCGTGGACCACTTGTCTCAGTTGACGTGCAGGCTGCAGCCCCTCGCCTCAATCGTCTTCTTGTGGTGTTTCTGTGATTTAAGGCTTCCAGTTGCGCTCAAAGGTCTTATTCTTCAGCGCCTTCTTGGAAGTGCATCGCGATTTGTCCACTGTGACGTCTTTGAAAATCAATTGTCGCGACACTAGGCTTCTTCAGATTTCTTTCTGGCAGAAATCACTACCTGGACGGTCAGGCCACCTCCCATCACCATGGAAAACATACTTGAAACACTTGCCCTCTTGCAGGCTGAGCGCAGCATGATGTCGCCTGGTGCTGACGTTAGCACCGCGATCCCCCTGGATACGCCTTCCCCGAAGTCGGCTGCGGGGGAGGAGACGCAGTCTTACTCTCTGAACGGTGAGTCCGCTTGCAATCTGGGACGAGAGTGTGCCCGCTTCTGCTGCGTTGAAAATTTCAGCAACCGACTTCTCGGTGTTTTCACCACCTTTGTGACACGTTTCTCGTGGGGGCCTGAGTACTAACCCGTAGTCCAATATTTGAGCAACTTGTTCTCAAGGAGACTCGACCTTGCGGACTTAGTTCAGCACTCTTGCTAATCATTCTTATCAGTGGACTTTGTTTCTCAAGGATCTCTGTTCAGTGATTGACGAGGCTCGGATGAGCTTCCTTGTACAATGGTATCCTGCCTGAGTCCAAGCCACGTTTATTCTGCAGGCGCAGCTCGCGCCCAACCCGGGGACATGGCAGCATCTGCCCGCCTCAAGAAGATTGTGGCGGCAAGGGCGGCCTCAGCACCCCAGCGTCAGCCACTTGGGTCGCTGCAGACTAACAATGTGGACTCCAAGCGGTGAGGAGCTTTGGCCTCGACTATGTTCACTCGTATCGATGTTGCCTGGCTCCCTCCGCGTGCGACATGCGAGTGGTGCACGTTGGTTGCCCTTCCTACGATTTCAAGCTGCGCTTGTAAGAACTTACTTCTTGATACGAGCCATTCTTGGTACAATCTGTTCAATTGGAGTCAGGTCATAGTTGTCATAATCAAGCGGCAAGCTCGATCTGCTCGTCTTTCTGCACACTCTAGAATCCAAGGTCCAAGAGAGTCGCTGAAACATCAAAGCTTGAGAAGTACCAGCGCTGTAGGAGCGTCTTTTCAATCAAATGTGTTCATTTCCTCAAGAGTCCCGACGTTTTCACTGGCTAGTTCTGTGGCTTCCAAATCATTTCCTTGTCCAATCTCTTCAACTTGTAAGCTGCCTTCTGACCATTTTCTCCTTGTTTCAAACAGGAGTGGCGAGTCGCCAGTACAGAAAGTGCGCTACAGCTTGCGCAGCCGGTTGAAGCCGGACGAGACATCGCCGGCAGCCGAAGAGCTAACCTCAAAACGTAGTAGACTCGCATGAACGTTTGATAGAAGGTGATGCGCTGCGGGTCTCCAGGTCGTTCCCTGTAACTTGTAGTCGCTTGGAGGTCAGAGCTCGTCATAGACTGTTCATTTGAAAAGGTGTGGAATCGTACACTGGTATGATCGACCACTTCTTGGGCAAGTCAGACTCTCGGTCATTTTGATCTCTCCCAACTTGCGCTGAGATTCTTTCTGAAACGTTCTTATGGTGCAAACCAAAGAGCCTCCTGTAGCATACGGGCAACAATGTGATCGCGAAAACCGTCGCAGGAGCTAGCATGTTTGATCGCAACCGCCGTGCGACAGTTGATGGAGCATTCTTCTCTGATTGCGAGACGGTGATTGCATCAATCACTGCCCACAATCTTTTGCAGTGGTCAGGTGATGCTCAGCAGCTCGTTTTCAAATGTCTTTCAAGACAGATTTTTTTGACTTTTGGAAAACAGAGATACCTTAGCCTAAGCAGGTAACTAATAGTTGACCATGAAAGTATCGGAGGACGGTCACCTACCGAGCACTAAAGTTGTCCACAAACTTGATCGAGGCCGCTGCGGCCGGCCAGCACGGCCCACTGCCATGCGATGGCACATGAGCAGGAGATCAGTCCGGTCAGCATAGCTTGCGCAAGCCCGCGCTATGCAGCTGTCCGACATGACCGATTGCGATGTCTGCGGCCGGGATCATTGACGGTTCATATCGACAAACAACGATCGGATTGCATGAGAGCCGGGCAACAAGGCGGCTAGCAGGCTCATATGTGTACGCGTGATGGACAGAGCATGTTGAAGGCCGCAATCGCTCCTCGCTATAGCTCGCCTATAGCGCTTATATATAATTGAGTTATACTAATATACACTCATAGCAATCAATTGATGCCAGCTGTGAAAGCGGCATGATACCGACGGTCGCGCATGACCGTCCATGGCCTAGCTGTCCCATCCGGCGCGCGCGCGGCCGGGCGCCACTGCAATGATGCGGCGGCCCATGCGCGAACGCGCCAGGGCGGCCCCGCGGGCCGCGCTAGGGCTCCCCCGCGGGCCAAGGGCGCGGCGACCGGTCACCGCATGCGACAACCCCAAACCTTCAAACAGCTAACCTGCGCTAACCCCTACAAACACCTGGTCGATCCAAAACTCTGTGTTACTTTAACCCTCATTGCTTGAGCGCAGCAGACGGTCGCAAACCAGACCAAACTCTCTGTCTGCCTAGTCGAGGCGTTTCATTGTTGGGAGACGTACCTACCTAAGGGTACCGTCATTTTGTAACTGGTACCCCCCCATGTTTAAATCGACCATTTTCGGAAGTTGCCCCTTGCCAGGACCCCTGGGGGGCCTCGGCTGCGCCGAGAGGCCCCAAGCCCCCCCCCCCCTAGGCCCTGCTGCATAAGAGGGCAGTGAAGCCAAAGCCAGAAACCCGTTTTTTTGATTATTTTTTCCTGTATGGTATTAACAAATGCTCGTATATATCCCTCGCTTTTTGAAAGCTAGTTAGCCCCGCAGGGCAGCTCTTTGAAGTCTGCGAACCACTTTGACACTTTTGATGCTCATTTGAGGGACAAACACAAAGATATGTTGGTGAACGTCGCTCATAAGACCCTCCGCTCGGAAGCCTCAAGCCGTCCCCCCAGGGGGGCCCTGAATCTC